AATATTTCGATTAAATTGCACTAATTCTTCCATTAAATATCCGCAGAAATTAATCTTTTCTTTCTACCAAACAAAAATTATGTGAATTAATACATTGCAAATTATATTAACTCAAATTTTTGCGCGGTGTTAAGAATTTACGGTTAAAATATGAAGTAAAAAGCTTACTTAAAGTATTTATATTAATAAAAATCATTAATTCAGTAGTTTATTCTAACAAATTTATTATATTTTAAGCCATAAATTACATTTTATGAAAAATATTTATTTATTAAGCTCTCAATAATTGTCCTTTTTCAGCATTCTTCATAACCAGGTCCACTAGCCATGCGGTTCCGTTCCCCAAACACTGGCCACGTGGAGTTTTCCGGGTTTTCTCCACGTCTGTAACGCCCGAATAGGTGCCAGTTACCCTTTAAAAAAGACCTTCCGGAAGGCATCCCCTAGGCAGATCGCCCAAGTGTTGCATTAAAGATAAAAAAATACAATGTTTCAGAACGATCAGAACCAGATTTACGTTGGCCTGTAAGATAAACAAGCTACAGGGGGGCCTCACACTTGGAGGGACCACGTTCGGTTATCGAGCGCAGTGCATACATATTGCCAGTTATTATTTGACGAAGGAAGAAGGGCCTCTTTTATGTTTTGTTTAGCGTAGGACCACAACGAGCAGGGCCAACTGTGTCCTCAATCTATAAACAGATTTGGAGAGCGACTGTATTTTAATCCCCGGGTCAGTAATGCTAAATTAAGCAGATAAAGATGTAGTTTAAGTGTATAAATATCAAATACATTAAGTGTTTTTAGATAAAAGTATAAAGGTAAATTAAAAAAAAAAAAAACAGGGAATTTATTACATTAATGTATTATGTAACTATTTAAATTACTTATCGCGCTTATCTAATAAGTAATTTCATAACTTCACGGAGAATATAAAGGAAATTATATACCATATGCGATAACATTTTCTTTATTTTTTACTGTTTAATCACGATACTTTGCTTGTTTTAGATATAAAAAAGTATTTTTAGAATCTTAGGAGAAGCATTAGAAGTTGCATTATACATAGAAAGGATGCATTAGATATAAGAAGAAGCATAGATTTTACATTGTACGTAGGAAGAGCAAAGGAAAGAGGCATAGAAATTGCATTATAGATTGAAGGAGCATTAGAAATGTGCTTTAAATATAACAGTCATAGACTTTATACATAGGGAGGAGCATTAAAAAGATTAATTAGCTATAAGAAGAAGCAGAAAGTTGCATTACACAGGGAGGGAGCATTAGATTTAAGGAAGAGCATAGAAATTGCATCAAAAAGATCATTAGAGTTGCAATACAGATAAGAGGGAGCATAAGATTTAATAGTAGTTTTTAAAAGTCAAAGAGGGGCATTACACACAGAAATATTAAAAAAAAATTTATTTTAAAAATATTTTAATTTACAGAAGGATTTAAATAACGAAGAAAGTATAAAACCAGATAAAAATAAGAGAAAAAAAAAATGTGCCCCGGGTGAGGATCGAACTCACGACCTTCAGATTATGAGACTGACGCGCTGCCTACTGCGCTACCGAGGCACTTGTGCACTTCTCATTTAATAATATATAAGTAGATATTTTATCACCGAGGCTAAAGATAGGCGAATAAATTTCTTTAAATAATCGAAATTAATAATAATTAAATATAAAAGAGCATAAACGAAATGATATTTATGTAAAATTTAAAGAGCAATTTATTAAAAATATTGTTTATTTTTTATCTGGCAATTCGGCACCACGATCGCAACTTGTTTAGACGTCGTCATGGGAACTGTTTGGTAAGTTTTATTTATAAATAGGCCTAATCTTAATTATATACAAAATAAACAATCCTTAATTAAAAAACGAATAAATTTCTATCGAAATAAACACAAAACACGTTAATTTACGGCTTATTTACTTCAAAATATTTCATATCAGCTGTAATTTGATACTTGGATCAAGTTCAGGCTGGGACAATATTAAGCCATTTTTTATAGAATATTTGCTGGGTTTTGTATAAAAAATGGCAATTTGTGAAGTATCTGACACGTAAAATACACAAAAATGGAGAAAAATAATGATTAATTGAAATAATTATGTGCTAAATGAGTGCACAATGCTGTTTATGATTCACTTCCTGCATTCAACCTGCACACAATAACTTTCTTTCAGGCTAAGTTTAGTTGTGCTGATGATGGCATCTGCCTTTTTTTATTCTTCTTTTTTTACCTTCGACTCCGTGCGTTACGTAACCTCGGCTTTTGCGGTTCTGTTAATTTTGGAAAAACGGGAGCGTCGTCGTATTAAAAACACGTATAAGTTTATTACGTAGCGTTGAAGAGGTAAAAGTTTCATTGTTTTTGAATAAATTTTGATAATTGTTTAGTTTGTTATTTGAGTATTTGAGGTGTTATTTGAATGCGCTGGGAATTGCGAGCTATTATTTGAATTTGTAGGGCTCTGTGAGATATTATTTGAATTTGCAGGGTGCCGCGAGGCAATATTTGAATGTGCGAGGTATTGTATCCGAGTATAGGAGGCATTGTGAGACATTGTGTGTTCGGGCATTATGAAGCTTTGTCTAAGTATCTGTGACATTAATTGAATTATGTGAGTGTAAAGCAGCCTTAATGTAACTTTACCGCAACCGGATAAGCAAACTGACAATGTAGTGCGTTTTGTCTGAAACGGGTTTGTTGTCCGACTGTGTTAAAGCCACCTTGCCGAGCAATGTGCCTGTTATGAGATGTTATCTGAATATCTGATATGTTGTGAGCCGTTGTCTACGAAAGGTTGTTTATTATGTTATTTAATACTAGTGAAAAATCTGCAGGAGAAAGCAAAATCTTATTCCACGGGCCTTATATTGATGTCGCAGATTCCTTTGTAAACTTCGTATGCAGATCACTCATTGGTTAACGTGGTGGTAAATTGTTGCAAAAAGTTATACAGAATGATAGGGATATATTTTTTCTATGATGATATTTTAATTCATATACTGTATATTATATTGTACACAAATGTATATTATAATATAAAATTAAAATGTAAATTATGAAATTATTAAATTAAAATTAAAGAAACGAAGATAGAAGTTATTAAAAATCAAAGTATGTATGCATTTTTTGAGACACACTCCATTAAAGTAATCTAGAATGTGAATCTATTAAGAGTATAAATATATACAGTGTACTTAGTAAAGTCTTTGTGCATCGAGAGTTTTGAATAAGACAATAATATTGCAGCACAAGACGTAGGAAAATGAGACATTTGTGTACGGTAAAAAAACACATGAGAAGTGAGTGGAAACATGTGAACAAACACACTAGAAATGCACATTTTACCATCGGTGCTAGACGAGTGTGTTAACATTTCACGCTTTCTATTTGCATGTGTGGTGTGGGGCATCCTTTCTTAATAATTTGGTCAAACTCTTCGACTTTGTAATCAATATCTTTCCACTTCGTGCATCCTTTTTAAGACGGGAGCACTAGCTCCCGACTTTTATTGCTAGAGATCCCTCGATCGGTCTTGTCTCTTAGTGCGGTCACTTTACCATAACTATACATTGTGTTTGTAGGTGTAGCTATCTGCATTTATCGGTTTGTGAGTGTGTAACGATTTTACTGTGTGCATTTATACTAATCTTTGTGTAGAAGGTTTAGGGAGGTAATGTACTGAAAGATTTAATCTGTCATTCCTCTAATGTACAAAATATAAAAATTTTACTACTGTTGTGCATAAATTACACATACCATTACAAAAGTTAATCTGAAACCAAACCAGACAGTTCAAAACTTGAGACTGTAATTAGTTTACCAATTGTTTGTGATTAAGTAGATGGTATGGTAACAACTTTACTACATAACAGTCTGGCAAAACTAATATGCAGAATTAGAAAGTGCAGGACATTCAGTTGCTCATATAAATGAAATTACTGTAAGTTGAATGTATATAAAATTTCGTAAGCATTGATGAATTAGAAAGGAATAAATTCAAAAACAAATGAATTAAAATATATTTTAATAAGCTGTACATTTACATTTTAAATACTTTTGAGGCCCGACTTGGTTTTTTTAAAGGCATTACACAGTTAGAGATGTAGAATAAAATGAGCAAGATTAGGCCCTATAAGGCAAGACCATGGCTGGATGAGCTCCATGTGTTAATGTATGACCCATCCTTATAAACAGGATGGGCCATAGCTTTGTACTGTACAGTACATTATTTTATTTTAAAGCAATCATGTTGAAATTCTTATGCATTAAATTACACGATGTTACAAAATCTGTGTCTGTCAAATGGTTTTGAGTCTCCCTGTATTTTTAGTAAAGATGTCCACATCAATGGACATGGGTATGTGGCATTTTTATTTCTTGAAAGACTTTCAATATTTTGGTTTCCAAGGATGCCAAAAATGTTGAAAGTCACAACATAAGCTCTGCAGTAGAAAGTGGCTTTATGACAAATGCGATCCTTCACAAAATGCCAGAGGGTAATATGAGGTTATCTTGGAAACAGTGGGATTGAACAATCTCACCCCAATTGGTGTCTGGGGAAGAGGTTATTCAGGGTTGCACTCTCTTAAGCCCAATGTAGTGATTGTAAGTTCTACATGTGCCCTTTGGTATAAACTCACTTCAGACTGTTTAGTTGTGTTGTAACACAATGATTCGTATTTATGTATTGAAACATACATAAACAAAGAAAAAGTACAGGCAGCTACAGATCTTTCAGCTCACATTATAGTATGGAACCTTCATCATATATACAGTTTATCATTAAGTTGAATGTCGTTAAGTGGTACAAACCCAAATTTGAAATTTAAAAAATTATTTTTATTGACAGAGATATTCAAAAAATTGAATTAATTGAATTCGGCTTTACTATTCTGACTCAAAAAAACAATTAGAAATTGCTAGTCGAGAAATAAATAAGTTTAGTAGGGACAATTTTGTTCAGTTAAAATTATTTAAATATATATATATATATTTTTTAGGATGAAAACATTTGATAATTTAGTAATAGTAACAGCTGCTAAAAAATAGTAACTTATATGTGTGTGACCCAAATTTTCCAATGTCACGAGACAGCTGGCGGCAAGCACTCTTTGTCAATGTTATGCAACATGCATTTACTTGGAACCAGTATCAATATCGTAATTTTTAGTATTACAAAAAGCAACTATTCATTTTATTTAGTTTCTCTGCTTATTGATTTGCACTATTGAATTGATAAATGAACAAGCTAAACTTTGCATTATAAAATACTTTGGCAACTGCAAGAAAAGAACATTCGTACAAAGCGGTAAATATATATGTTTTCTATATAAGTCTATATACATATGAAAGTTTAACCAGTATTAATCACAATAATTAGATTAGTACAACATCGATCTCCGAAGTTCTTGTCCTCGATTATTGACCCCAGATATGTCAATTAATGAATATACTGTACTCCTTGTGCAAGAGGTTATTAATTACAGAGAATAAATAATTTTTAGAAACATTTCTTTATATTTAACACATTGTGTATTAATCTGCACAGCAATTTGTTTGGGTTTGTGTTTGAAGAACTCAATATAAGCATGGTTTTAGTAATGTGCACTTACAAATAACAATAAATAATTGAATTGATTGAAATGGATAAATATGCAAACGTTTTACTCGTTCAGATGCAATTAAGCATTGCGTGTCACTCTATACTCTTCATGTCAGATGGAAACCATTACGACATATGTTGAATCGAGTAGTGTGAATTAATGGTTGAGTAGCATTTCTATTAAAGAAAAAAACATATCATTTAATTGAAGTAACAGAGCAAGTTGATTCTTAGTATCAAGATAACTAAGTATAGCATCAATTTTAAACATTGTTTGTGAATTTTTGTAGTAATCTTAAGTTTTTCTGAAGGTGAAATTTGATACGCTACGCTAAAATTTGTGTTAGGAATCCATATCGATGTCGGTGTTTTATTTAACAAAGATTTCTGTTGCAGAATCAGAAGTGTCTGTGTTTTCTTTAAGTTAATTTAACTGCAAAATAAATTCCATTTAAATAATCCTATTAAACATCTTGTTAAATTTAATTTTCTATTTACGATCGATGGACAGTTTTTTTAAATAGGAAGCATTTGCTAAACAGGTTTATTTATACATTATTAAAGTGACCTTTTTGCTATGATTTTTATATTCGAATTTCAATGATTGAATTACAGGAATGTGTTGTTACCTGTTTAATCTTGATGTGATTTGAAATGCGTATAAATTACTATAGATTTTTCTATATAATTGTGTTCTAAATCATCAAAAATAGAAAACATAACTCTCAATTGATAAATTAGAGAGATAACGGAAGATATAAAAATAAGCCTGAAGAAGAGCCCAGGAGGGGCATCGAAAATGTTCGCCGATTTTTTGAAGAATTTCACGCCGGTTATTGGTTATTTGTAGGTTGTTGTGTATTTTGAGTAAATTAGAGAGACTGTTTTTTTAGAAAATTGACCCAAATGAGCAGTCATATTAACCGAGCAGTCATCATATGGCCAAATTAGTTTGATTGACAGAGCATTACGATGACCTGAATTTTAAAGAAGAGGATGCATCATTTGATCAAACTATTTTATATTTGACAATTTGATATAATTTAATTTAAATCACACATTTCACATTGATGGAGTTGCATCGATTGACGAAGGTAGTTAAAACATCAGCCTGTTGCTCTGGAGGATCTAGGATTGAATCTGAACGAGCAATAAGTTGACTCTGTCCCCAATCATCGAGCCAACTCATTGCAGGCTTGGCCAAACCTACGATGGGCATGGGGTAGAACCATTCTGAAGAGAACCATTTTGTATTGTAAATTACTGAAGAGAACCATTTTGTATTGTAAATTACTTAATGCACAGTTGGATGATTTTGTCTTGCCGAGGACATTGTTATTATCGTGTGATGTTTGTAGGCCATATCCTTCCATAATTGTTATTGTTTGAGGTACTTCGGTTTAGTGTCACAATCGATTTACTGCCAGTTTCAGAAGCACTAAATTGACATGTTGACTTTAAATTAGAATTTTGGATTATATCATCTTAATTGAATGATACATCAAACAATATATTTATATAATTATTATTAAAATATTAATTTAATTAATTTTTTTTTTTGTTTCAGATATTTCTCTTACTTAGAAACAATTTGTTATTTAGAAATGTCTTTACCTGCCCGTAGTTTCTACAATGGAAGTAAATTCTTTAGCCGAAAGAATTCTGTCAGACATTAATGTAGTTTTTAAGAAAGTTCCTGCAATGTAAGTAATCTATTCTTATGAATTTTTTACAGTAGATCCATTTTTATGACTCGACTTGTTCCTGGAAAATGGTCATTAAGTGAGCTGTCACTTATTAAATTCTAAGTTCTTGCAGATTTAATATCACAAGTTGAATGGCCAGACATGAGAAATTAATGATACTTTGTTTTCGTGTGTAAAAAAAGTAATGTGCAAACAAAAATTTGAAATACTTTTCATCTCCATACCATAGAAAGGGTCCAGAAAAACTCAAATAAAAATATTTAAATTTTTGTTCTTGTTAGTGGAGATGGGAAGTCGATAACTGATAGAAAACAAGGATGGCAATGATGCAAGACACAGCAAAAACAAATGCTCACGATGAAATGTGAACATGCTGTTATATTAGAAAGATTTTTTGATAACCATGGATATTGCATGAAAGCTTAAGAATCATCATACATTGGAATGAATTGCATATATAAACACCAAAGACACTATAATTTGCAATTAATCATACCTACAATAAAAACTATTTATGAGTGGAAACAGTTGATAACATATTAATTAAATTGATATAACACTAGTACAACACCACTCTCATAAAGCAGCAATAAGTACATTTGAATATAAATATATAATTTTTCCTATAAATAGTAAATAGAGAACCTATAAATAGTAAATAGAGATCTCTGTAGTGTCTATGAATTATTAAATGTATAATTTTATATTGAAAAGGCATTATTACAGAGTCATGCAAATTTGTGTATAGACTTTAGCACTTTATATAATTCTTATTGCTTGAAGTATTTCAGTTTAGTGCCATGCTTGATTTAATGCCTATTTTGGAGGCAAAGTGACATTAAATTGAAAATCAACTGTACTTAATTTTGAGCCAGATGTTACATTAACATTTATGTTATTGGTAAATAACATAAATTATTTTTTTAAATGTGTTAAAATGTCCAAAACCAGTTTATTTTATTAGTTTGCAAAGTTAAGAAGTCAATGAAGATTAGTTAAATTTTAGATTTTATGAAAATAAATTATTTATAAACGTTAACATTATGCAAGAGTATTTATTAATTTTTAAATATTTTTTATTTCAGTGATGAATTTGACATTCTTCCCATCAGTGATGTAGTACAAAACAAATGTCCAGTTATTCACATAAACCAAAAAGTAGCATTGGAAGGATGGTGCGTCAAGCATGTATACCTCTATGCATATTCTCAAATGATGCAATGGAAACATAGTCAACAGAAATTAGGTAATTTAAATATCATTTATGTACATAAAACTAATAACAATTAATATAAATTTATTTTTAAAGTTAAAACTTTCTTGTTAAGTAAGATTTTTAAGACAATGATACAAGATTGGCAGTTAAAACTCAAGCGAAGGCCAGTGTAGTATTTTCACTTCCTTATAATATACATATTTTGAGAAATGAATAAAAATGCATTTAATTAATTGAATAGGTTGAGTTTTACATAAAATCTAAAACAGACAGTTCCTAAACATAAAAATCAAATTATATCCACACATTTACTAGAAATAATATTAAAAAACCTATTTAGGTTGCATCAAATTTACTACACAAAATATTGTTAAGTCTCATTCATGAATAAAGTTTTGGCTATGGAGTCTTGTGTCCATGTGACTTTTGGGCACTGCTAACAATGGACACCTTCTTGTCCTCGTTCTACAATAGGTAAATGATAAAGCTATGCTGGAAAATCTGTCAAATTACACTTTTTTCAGACTGTTTCAGGTGTCTAAAGACATTTCTAATATGTAATACACCCTTTGTCAGAAAAGTTCCAGGACAACGATCGTAAAAAATAGAATATTGCTATTACCAATTAATGATCCTAGCTCCTGTCAGAGTAATTCCCTCAGCTATGTATACACAATTGCCAATGTTTCTGGAGGTCTTGGAAGCAAGCAGAGAAAGCTTCAAGTGTGATGCTTCTTAGCTCATTTGTCACAGTTCGTTGGATGTCTGCGATATCTTGATGAAACATCTTTTTCAGTTGCTTGATGAAATGTCCCTTTCAGTTGCAATCCTTTGTCAGAAAAGTGTGATTTTCTTTTTGTTTTCATGATTGAAAAAGCAACTGACTGAAAGGGATGTTTCGTCAAAATATTGCAGACATCCAATGGACTGTGACATATGAGCTAAGAAGCATCACACTTGAAGCTTTCTCTGCTTGCTTCCAAGACCTCCAGAAACATTGGCAATTGTGTATACATAGCTGAGGGAACTATTCTGACAGGAACTAGGATCATTACTTGGTAATAGCAATATTCTATTTTTTTTTTTAGCTTTGTCCTGGAACTTTTCTGACAAAGGATGTATTTCTTAAACTTAAAATATGAGGTAATTATAAACTAGTTATTATGACTATATTAACAAAGTCATATTGTTTTGATTTTAATGTATACAAAATGTTTATGATTAAAAGACCATATTTGATTTTAATAATTTTTAACCAGTTATTTCTATCAATTTTAATGCAACATATTGTAAGATTTTAAGTATAAATTTAAAAAGACAATCCTTATAAAATGAAATCCTGCATACAACAAATACAAGTTTTATTTTTTCCTCTCTCCACTCAACTTGTTTCTCAGTGAAATCAGAAAATGCTGGCTAAGAAACAGTAGATTGATGCTGTGAAAGTTTTAAATGTGTTTTTGCTGTTGGCATTTCTGCAGGTTTTCACCTGATGAAATGAGCTGGTTGCATAGAGTCTACCAACTGTGTGACGGTCACTTGGTTAAAGGCATTATCTAGTTTATGATAACTAAGATATGTTGCAGTTAATAATGCAAAGTAGTCCTTTCATACTTAACTATGAAATAAACCTAGATAAACAAAATAAAATTATAATAAATGAAACAAAAGTTGGATTCCGCATTCCAAATTTATGATTAAAAGTTTATAAAAATTACATCTGTTGTACCATAATTTTTGGTAATATATTGCTTGCTATAGAATGATTTTCATACAAATAAATCTGTTTGCCTGATAATGCATGGAATATAAAGTATTTTAATTCCTTTTAAACATTTATAACAGTTCTTAAATGAATAATAATAGAAATAAAATCATATAATTGCATATAAAATTTTAATGCAGTTTACACAATAAATTTGAGTATTTATAATCATTTATCATGTGTAGATTATTATTAAAGTAGTGATGTTTAATTTAAAACATTACTATCCACTTCATAAAAAAGTTACTCAAGTAAAATTATCATTTTAAATAATCTGAAAGCAGATTTATTGACACAGAGTGAATTTATATGCCCAAAACTTTTGATTAATTTTTCTGAGTTCTCATTAAAATCGATAACTTATTTAAAAACAGAAAGTAATTGTTTGATATCTCTTATAAAATCAAAACAAATATCAAACTGAAATAAATTTATAAACATTTTAGACAAAAGGAAAAAAAGCTATCAACATAAATATTAATAATTGTAATTAATCAAATATTATCTTAGATAAAGTATAGTTTTTCTTATTATCAATACAACATAAAGTAATTATCTATAATGCATTGTTTGAAAGATTATTATGAAATAATCACAATACACTTTAGTAAAAGGTTTGTTTTGTCAATAAACAAATTATACTAAAATATGTAACATTTAACCACCCATTCATTTAAAAAAAGATACTGGAGATCCTGCCAAATTAATTCTTGTTGGCCATTTGTTATTAATTTAACAAATATTCAAACCATTCAATAAGAAGTTACTTTACTTTTTAATAAATTATGAAATTTTGCTTTAATTTAAGCAAAATGAAAGCAATGTATGGCCCACCATATAAAAAGACTGTCCATTCTAAACATCTTTAATTAAATAAATGAGTTTTTTCAAAATTAATGATTAAATTGGAATTTACTAAAGGAGATAATCTTCAATACTTTTATTTTATTGTGTAACTAATCTTCAATTGATTTCAACATTTTATCTATACAACTACATTATCTTTCATGTTACTTGTACCTATTATCAGTACATGTATGTTTCTTTTCACGTAAATAATAAAGCAAAATTCAAATTAAAATAGCAGAAACCGTCATATTAACTAAGTGATGGCAACTTTGCTTAACCTATTATTTTATATAATTAAATTTCTAGATGCAGTTGGATAATTTATAATTTAAATTAGACTGCAGCCAATTAAAACCAATTTAACTTGGCAAATGTTGTGCAAAAATGGCCTCTAAACATACAATGGTATACAGTTAACTAAACCAATTACAATTAAGACTTTTAGCCAGGAAATTAAGGCTAAATTGTTAAACACTATTAATGGATTTAAAAATGAATTTTGGTATATTATTTACGGAAAATATTCTAGGAAATTTAAATGATAAAAGTAATAATATAAAGTATTACTCAACACGGTACTAGTCTAGATAAATTATCCGAAAGTACTTGCACAATATTGTGAAGCAAGGCCAGATTAAATTATTTATCTGAAAATATACAAATCTACATGTTGAATTAATTGAATGTATATGTATTTTAATATAACAATTTTGCCATACTCAATAGCAATTAAGATTAATTTAAAAAATTATGATAAAATATATCCATTAACAGCAACCGATTAGCATAATGAATATTTTCAGATACAGCAGTTATATTGAGTTGGACGCGAGCTATACTTTTGATCAATCCCGACGTACAGACGGCGTGGAATATTCGGTTAGTACTTTAATGTAATCAATAAAAATTGTCCAAATTTTTACACATTAAATTTTACATTGTTGTTTTGTTTTCTGTTTGAATCAGGAAAGATCTTGTATTTAGCGGAGTTCAGAATATAGAAGAAGAATTAAAGTTTTCTGAATTGGTACTGAGCCGAAAACCAAAGTGTCTGGACGTGTTTTCTCATAGGTAAACAGTTATGTTTGGTGAAAAATAAATTAATACTGAATGATAAATATTTAAGCTCCTATTTATTAAAGCAATGAGATTTTACTTGTCACATTTGGTTTGTGATATTGCCTCGGCCCAAGCAGCAGCAGTTTCACAAACCTCACGTAAAGTAATGTCATTCCTTTCTTGAAAGATTTTGTGTTGTGACATAGACAGTGTCTATGCTCGACGACTGATCATTAGTGAAGCAAAGATTTTATTGATCATTTAGGAGAGGACTTGCACTCCCCCCACATACACTGTACACATTATACAATACAGTTTTGAGTGATTTGCAGAGAGAGAGAGAGAGAGAGAGAGAGTTAGAAATGCTTATTACTGGAAGCAATGTTCAGGTTCCAGTATGTCTTTGTCAGTCTTTCTTCAATTCTTATAATTATCTTACTGTAAAGGTTAAATTAAAATTGGGACCTCAGAATAATTATGAAATAGGAATAATTAGGAAATTATAGCAAAGTGAAGGAATTTTCATCAGATAATTTCTTTATATTGTAAAATATAATCAACACTTTGTTTACTTGATTTAAAATTTTTTAATAAAAATTTTTAAAAACTCAAAAAATGTGTAAAAATATTTTGTTAAAAGTTTTTATGTTATATAACAGTGGCATACATGCTTAAGTAAACCCATCTAAGATCATCCTATAACAAGTGGAGATATCCAAACCATCTATCTACTCTATGCTACATGTAGCTCTAGGGCATCATGAGAGTTAATGAGTTTAGTATGTTTAGAGAAAATGAGAATATATAATTGTTAAAATAACCTAAATCGAGAGAGAGCAGTTGTGTTTCTTTAATTAAAATGGCAGTATTCGAAAAGACACATACAGAGTATGCCAAAGTCCAAAGGGTTAGTGAGGCAAATGTTGGCAGGGCCCTTTTTGTAACTAATGCGTAATGTTTTTTCATCCTTTTATGATAGATAAGAACCTACATGTGTAACTGATATAGTAAAAATATCTATGTACTCGACCAATTTAATCGTATTCCCGACTCGTCCTCGTTGGAAGTTCGGACTCTTTCAATAGAGAAAACATTTGCATGCACAGTCAATTTAGAGTATATCCTGTGTAAGTATTTAACTTCTGTAGATTCAAAACTGATTATTCTGTTTTTTCACCCTCTATCAAAGATATTTTTACAGCATGTGATTATGATAGTCTATTCCCATCAATCAAACTAGAGGCTTGTTCTTTATTAGGAACTTTAATTATTTATATACTAAACATCCTGAAGCATGATACATAGATATTTAACCAAATGAACACCTTAATCAATTGGGTTATAAATCCGCTATTATTAATAATTAGACACTAAATTATTTGGCACTAGAGGTAGATGTTAGGTGTCATCTATAAATTGCTAACCAATAGTGGATTTATAGTCCAATTGATTAAGGCAATCATTTGGTTGAATTTAATTATTGGTAGCAGTAATATAGATTTTGGTTTCTTTAAGTCCATAATAGATTACTGGGCTGCAATTTGAAAAAACTGTACACTATAAATTCCCACTGTTCTCTTCCTGTCTGTCCTTCCTTAATCTGGAGAATGGAGATAGATGAAAGACAAGACCACATATGGAAAGCTTAGGGGCAGGTGGCCTCGATTAAGTATAAACAAACTTGTTAGGTGTATTAAATACTCGGCTCAGATGTCACGCCAACAGTTAACTTAATCAAAAACTTCATTAAGAAACTTCAGACTATGAGGCGTTAAATAAAATTAAAAGAAATATTTTAATCTTGCAAAGCGCTTTCAACGTAAATATGTACGTCGTCTTCAGGCAATTCAAAATTGAATAGAGAATTCGAACAGAACATTTAAATTTAAACTTTAACAATTTTTAGCCATTTTTGGGATATAGCTATTACAAATAAGATTTAAATTTTAGAATTAAATATTTAAAAATTGGTGCGCATGCGTTTAAACAAATAAAGACCAATTGGAATGGCTATTAATTATTTTGTAAACGCAAAAAATTGGCACGCGTGCTCCTTAACATGTATGACATAAAAGCCAATTGGAATGGCTATTAAGCACAAGTAAATTTTAGATTTTGAATTAAAAACATTTTGTAAATGCATATAAAATTTTGGCACGCATGCGTCTTAACATACAGCATAGAAGCCGATCAGAACAGAGCCATAAGTGCAAGTTTACATTAAAATTTTAAATATAAAATCGTGACATAATTTAAAATATATAAAACATGCATAACATATAAAAATAATACACACATAAAGAGGCTGACACGTATGTGCCTTGATTCATATAGGAGGTGCGGGAAAAGGGTGTAGAACTATTGTTAATTTTTTAAACGCCTGTATAAATTGTGTAATGATAGAGATGCCATTTCCACCCTGGAAAAATTTGGTGTATACTTTGTTCCCCTGCAAAATCCAATATCAGGACTATGCACCAATTATATAGGATTGACTACCAGAATGCTGGCTGCTCGCATATCTGAACACCAATGTTCGGTGGCACTTGGCAATTGCGACACGGAACTTTCCAAATTGGTGATACAACAACACCACATAGCGTTTTGGAATTGAGTAGCAATACTCAAATGCTGTGATGAAGGGAGCTTGATATATATTTGGGAGGCCATCTTCACAAAACTGCTCTCCCTGTGCAACTCCCCTGATGTCTGGATTAATTTATACAGGCGTTGAAAAAATCAACAATAGTTCTACACTCTTTTCTTGCAGCTCCTATATGAATCAAGGCACATACGTGTCAGCCTCTTTATGTGTGTATTATTTTTATATGTTACGCATGTTTTACATATTTTAAATTATGTCACGATTTTATATTTAAAATTTTAATGTAAACTTGCACTTATGGCTCTGTTCTGATCGGCTTCTATGCTGTATGTTAAGACGCATGCGTGCCAAAATTTTATACGCATTTACAAAATGTTTTTAATTCAAAATCTAAAATTTACTTGTGCTTAATAGCCATTCCAATTGGCTTTTATGTCATACATGTTAAGGAGCACGCGCGCCAATTTTTCTCATTTACAAAATAATTAATAGCCATTCCAATCGGTCTTTATTTGCTTAAACACATGCGCACCAATTTTTAAATATTCAATTCTAAAATTTAAATCTTATTTGTAATAGCTATATCCCAAAAACGGCTAAAAATCGTTAAAGTTTAAATTTAAATGTTCTGTTCGAATTCTCTATTCGATTTTGAATTGCCTGAAGGCAACGTACATACGTATTTACATTGAAAGCACTTGCAAGATTAAAACATTTCTTTTAATTTTATTTAATGCCTCATAGTCTGAAGTTTCTTAATGAAGTTTTTGATTAAAATAAACAAACTTCCTATACAAACCAGAAGTATTGTTCAGTTTATATATTAGATGGGACAAAGACTTTTATATTCAAAGTTTTAGGATTCCTATTGGTTCACATGCTCCTAACGATATAGCTGAGATCTTAGTTAAATGGGTCGAGGTACCAGTTGTAAAAAAGAAACACAGAGACTGCATCAAACTAACATGCAGATATGTTGATGATGTGCTAATTATTTGGCATAATGATAATTACATTTATCTGTTCTAATAAGTCAACTGATATTTAGAACTACTGAATAGCTTTATGGTGAATTATTTAAACATTTCAATCTTTAACATTGATCAAAGTGTTTTTCAAGTCTATATCAAGTGATTCCTATACATTAGAGATTCTATGACATTATTTTGCATACACTGCAGTAAATATAATTGGTAAAGCAAGCCATTATTATACTCATGGCACATACAAACAAAGAGTCAGAGAGTCAGAAAGAATTTGTACTATCTGTATTCAGTTATGGCTTTAATAGAGTTATTGTAGAAGTCATCTTTAAAGCACGCTTTAACTCCCTCCCTAAGACTAATAGAAGTAAAATGAAGCAGCATTTAGAATATTATATGGTCAAAGTCAAATTGCTTGCTTCTATCTTAAGATATACAGGATTCATTCATATATATAGGTGTTAAGAGATTACCTATGTTGATGCAAACCTTAATAATGGATAAAGACCAAATTGATGAGGATAAGCTAGGAATATATATGATTAAACTGGTCGAGCAGATAGATAGTTTTTACTATATTGGTTCCATGTATAGTTTCTTACCTAAATGGATCAAAGAGCATTATGGGTTCGTTACAAAAGGTGCCCAAAATAATCAATGATGCATTATCACACCAACAAATAAGACATTTACCTGGAGCTCGACGAGTTTTGGTCAATTTCCTGCCATACCTTATGCCTCCTGGCTATACAAATCACGTGTATTGTTGGTTCTCATATTAAGACCAAATAACATTGCAGTCAGAAAAGTAATAATACAGATAAACAGTTGTAGAATCATTGTTATTGATAATAGATATTATGTATGCCTTCCATGGTATGTTTGGCTCAGTTGTGAAATATGACTTAGTTGAGATCCCTGAAATTTATTTTATGTAGGACTAGAAATCCACAGTATATCACTGGAAATAACACATTATGCATTAAAAATAAGCATCAACACTGTAAATTGACTAAGTATATAGAGAGAGGGCGATTTATATCATTGTTTTTCAACCTTTTTCTAATAGTGGTATCTGGATTTGGTAGTTTTCTTGTGGTACCCCTACTTCTTTATTAGAGTTATTGCACTTGTAATTTTAGAAACATGCGTGTATTTCATGGCATCCATATGTGCTGCAGCATGTAGTGGCGTGTGAGTGTGCATGTGTATGCATTTTATGCATGTTAATCAAAAGTAATTAAAATAATGATGATAATTTTCAAATCATTATTAATTTTAGGAAATTACTGCTCCAAAGGCTAAGAGAAAAGCAATTTTTATCAATTAAAACGATTAAATACGAATTTGAAGTCTGTTCAAGAGCTGCCGAACGTTATCCTAATAATTATTATGCATGGAGTCATAGAATTTGGGTTATTCAAGAATTAATAGTAGATAAAAAAAATGTAAATATACAATTACTTTTAGTCATTTGATTTTTCTTTTCCTTCTAAAATTTAAATTTTAAAATTTTGCAATTTCAGATAGCCATTGAAGAATTAAAAAACACAGAATCGTGGGTATGTAATCACATTTCCGACCACAGCGGATTTCATTATCGACAGTTCCTCATAACCACTTGTTTAAAAGAAACTGGCAATCACCAGAGCCCTTCTCTATCCAAATCTCAAGAATCTACTATCGAAAACATACAGGATAAAGGAAGCGACAAAGATGGTTTGATAGTCACGAATGAGACATGGCTGCTGTTACGACAGGAACTGGTTCTAAATTCCGACCTGATAATTTCGTATCCCGGACACGAGGCATTGTGGTGCCACCGTCGTTTTGTCATCCACGCCCTGTGCCGCCATTCTCGTTCTGTGCCGAATTCCGTAACGCCCAAGTGTGTTGTCTGCGTGGATGGCGGCAGGGTGAAAAAAACTAAACTAGAATTTCAGACAGAATGCAAATTCTATATGGAAGAAGAGGATAGTTTTGTTAAGAAATGCTTACTGTTGATAAATCAAAAGGATTGGCAGCACCACTTGGCGACGAGGCATCTAGAATGGCTGCGTAAAGTCCTGTCATCATCATTTCCTCTCTCTTAATGCTTACGTTTTAACGGGATGAGACAAACATTGCTCATTAAGACTTCTTTTTACTCAGGTGATAATTAATTGAGAACATTTTACACAAATTAAATTTGAAGTTAAGACCCTATGTGATATTTTCTAGTGTTATAAAGTTACGATAAATGATTCAAAAAAGCCATTTTTTAAATAAAACATGTATTAAAATAATATTAATAATAATTAATTTTTAAAACAGTATAAATATAAACTGTTTTGTATATATACATATAACATTTTTTTCTCTCGTAGACTAAAAATCCAAGATTAGTAAATTAAAAATTAATGAGAATTTAATAGAGAAATTCTTAAAAGAACCAGTGAAAAAATACAATAAAAGATATTATAGAATCAAGACACTGTTAATTCGACTCTATAAAATAGCAATAATAATTAGCTAAGAATTCGAATTGTCCATAGGTAAGTTACTTACTTTTCTTCATTTTTTTTGCCTTTTATCTACCATTTTTTAATTACTTCACAAGCATTTAACTGTAAATTCAATACGTTTGTATTTCATAAAATAATTTCTGGTCTGAGTGTTTCGTACATTTCAAACAATACTTATGACGAGTTGTTATAAGGCATCCGTTTCCATTGGTGGCTGCTTACATACATATATGTGCTTTTTATAAAAGCTGATTTTAATAGAAAAGTATTATATATAAATGTTATATATATAATTATATATATATATATAGTATTTTTTGTTGTATTTTTCATATTAAAACTTTGAATATAATCTCTTAAGATACTTCTAGATCTGTAGATTTTATTGTAAAGAACAGAAGTAATATGCATAGTGTACAATTACAACTTGTCAATAATAGTTGTTTCATTAAAGTTGGAATCATTGAAGTTACAATAACGGGTGACCGCCAATTTCCCGGCATCCTGGTTCCGTAAACAACCAGACTTGTATAATAATAATGCAATGATACATCCAGGACTACTAATCATATACCTTCTACAGGCTAGAAACTTAAGTAAAGTGTACATTAAATGCATACCAATGTTTACATGTGTCATCTCCTCCACTTTAGAAACCAAAGTTAGATTTAAATGTAATTAAAATGTACCAAAAATCCAATAGTCAAATTTCCCACTTGTATTGTAGACAGTCCAAATGAACATGATGGTACCCATTGTCAAACGAGTCCGACTGTGTCGGAAATTCTAGGCATCTTCAAATTCGAATGAAAAGAACTGCCGGAAAATTGGTGGCGTACTCGTATTTAGAGACACTAGTTTAGAAATATTATTGAGAACATTAGGTTTTAACAAGGACCACATCATGTCAAGCATCTCAAACAATTCCGTCAACATTTATTATACATTGGAATCCCGGAACGTTAGAATACGAGCTTTCCGAATCTTACTCTGAAACTTCCAGAGCAATTAATCCCTATGCACATTAACTAGATATAATTTATTTAGAGTTTCTTTCGATTAGCAATAGTTTTAAGGGTCAATCAAAACCCAAAGAAAGATCGGATTGTGATGTATTATGTACATAATTTTGTTTTGTGTGATTTATTAGGTTAAAATTCTATATATAAAGAGAAAAAGTATTAGTTTTATTCTTGTGATTTTAATGGTTTGTTGAATTATACTGTTTGTTTGTTCACCAAATGTACATAAATTCTGTATATATAGATGCATAAAGTAAGAGATATTTAGATATTTTGTACTTGTAATCCCTTGCAAAGTTTACTTATATTAAAAACAGTTGAATTTGAGATAAAAGTTTATTTAATTTGATATTTGAAATGTTTTCTCTAAGTTGCTTTTATTCAGAACTGCTGGTGCATCAGAAACTAAATATTGTCGAATAAGTGCAGGATTTTACAATATATTTTTTACACTTGCACATTTGCTTCGTCCAGTGGTCGAGTGGATAAAATTGCCAAACTCCGATAGTTGGTTGTGAGTATTTTTTGGCTTTCTTCACATATCTTAACACCTAAATAGGAGCTGAAAAGTCTTAATACTTCATTTTACTTGTCAAAAAGTAACTGCTGAGACATCCCCAGGAGGTGTTGAGTTGCCTTATTCCATCAGTTCACTTCACTTGTGTTAAATTAAATAATAATAATAATAATAAGCAAGTAACATTACAATTGAGTAGAAAGACATACGTCACACTACAGAAGGCCACTATATTGAATATATGTCATATTGTTAGGAAATTCCTGAATACAGACACCCACACTGACATACTTATTTAATTTTTGTTTTGTTTTAGTTACTATGCCTTGAATCTGGTCCAGCATAGTACACAGCCACCTGTGTCAACTGAGTATAACTCACTAAACCCAACATAATAATAATAATAATAATCCACTTGCACATTTATGATTTAACATTTGTATGCCACACTTTAGTAATTTAATATGCTTGGATAAGTATACTTATAGAGGGCATAATGTTTACTTTTTTGTATTGTTACTCTCATTAAACTATAAGTTTTCTTTGATAAATAGAAGACTTTATGCAACAGCCAAAAAGCCAGGCTGTTAAGATGTCTGCCTATCACTCCGGAGAACTGGAGTCCCAGGTCTGGCCGAATCCAAGACAAGCTAGATTAAAAGGCCTTCTTAATACCCTCAATCTGTCAGCCATAACTTACAGCAGCAGAGCAGTATGCATTTGAGATTTGTCACGTCAACTACATTCTTCTTCCAGGAGATACTATAAAACAGATGTAACGTGTTCAACTACTGTACTTGTTTCTGTGTGTCATCTGCCTCATACCTAAGCATATAATGCTTTCATTGATTATATATAAAAAGTCAAGAAATCTAGAAATATTTCAATGTATTTATTGTAATTAGTAAAATATAATGTTTTGAGCACAAATTGTGCCACCCTCCAGCCACAGGAATGAAATTAAAATAGAATTATCTGTTATCAAATTACCTTTCGTGTGGCCAACGGCAAATTATTCTATCACCGAGCATTGCGAACTGGACTGTGCCACGTACCTGTATATTTTTATATTGTAGTTGGAATATTGTTCCCATCCATCTCGTGCCACCCAAAATTTTTGTAGGACTCGCTCACCTACGGTCAAGTTAAAACGGTGGCTCGCCACTATGGGACATCTATGTCTGGATTCGGTTCGGATGGCAGTACAGGGTCTGGGTTCAATTCTTCATTAAGTTTTTGGGAGCGGGTTGCCCGGGATACATCGTATCATGTATCTCGCTATTCGGGACATTGCGAATCCAAGACAGAAAGAGTTAATACCGAAACTCAATGGCACGAGGTATGTTCCTCATTCTTATCCTCACGAAACATAACATCTCATAATTGTGCATTTGATAGCCGATACATCAAACCGTCACTAGAGGTACCCAGAATCAAATCTGAGTGGGCGAAGAACACCCAGGAAAGAGTTCAAGAAAAATTATGCATTTCGATAGTTATGTTTTTAAACAGGTTTCGTATAGAAAACCATATAGTTATAAAGATAGTTATATTGGTTTATGGGGTTTTGCGATTACCGAATTTTTCGGCAATTGCCATTGCTTTGAAAATAACCTTTGCAGTTATAAATATAAATTCTGCAATTTACGATTTTGGAGCTTTAGTTATGGGCTTGCAATTATTAAATGCGCGATTTCTTTACGTTTGAAATGGTAAAATGGCGACCGCGACAGTCGAAGAAATTTCGGTCGCCATATTGAAATGCTCCATCCAGCCGAAACAAATCCAGATTCTCGCGAAATTCGTATACAAACGAGAATTTTAACGCATTTTGGATGGCGAAAAATACGAAGCGATGAATATTTATGCAATTTATATTTCATTTTGGATCTCCGTAAGTTAGAATCCTCTGTTAAACCGAGCGTTTCGTATGTAAATGTATTATATAAAGAAAGCGAAATTAAAAAAAAAAAAATTATTTTAATAATCGGATTCTACCGACAGAGGGCGAATGCACAAAAGATGGCCGCTCCCTATTTGTTTGTAGTTAGGTGAAGTGATCTTTTTTATTGTGTTATAAACTGACGAAAGAAAAGGTAATGTTGCAAAATTCGCTTATTTTAATTAAAATTAGTGATTAATTATCAAATTACATCGTATACACGTTTTTAAAGTGTATAACAAGACTGCATCGACACGTTAATAGGCGTTACGTGCAATCTCGATATTTTTGCATATATAACGGTCTTTTACAACGCGTGCTACGATTAATAATTTCCACGTTCATGTACTAAAGCATGAGTAATCATACTCGAGTAAAAGAATATAAAAATAACTGGAAGAAAACGTTAACGGAAACATGCTTATCGAAGGAAAACAGCTAGCGAAAAGAACTACACCTCGCCCTCTAACGGACAATAATATGAATTTTTTTTTGATGATTTAGGATAGGGAAACTGAACTGCTCCAGTTATTGTTTTTTTAGATTTAAAGCATCTTAATCATCAGATTTAAAGAGTAGACTGCATACTGCTGAAGTACTACGTGGGCTCACAAACTTCCATTTTTTCTTTAACATTAATTATATATTGTTAATAAATAAATATATCTAAAGAGATGCCTGTTTAGATATCATACAAATGCAGATATTGATGTTCTTTTTGTTTGGGTCTAAATCGTTGTGATCACATTTCTATGTTGAATACATTTTAATTCTTACTTCAAAATCAAAAAATAATTCTATCATATGTGCAAATATAGAGCATAAATAAAATATTAAATATAGAATGAAACGTATTATTAATACAAACACAAGTAATAAAGAATTTCAGATTGTATTTCTGGATCTGGTCTCATTAAGTTTGCATAAGCGTGAATGCAGTTTAAAATATAATGTGAACGCTATTCATACACGGTACTTGTGAACAGATAGAAGTACTCGCCGTCGAACTGTACGCTGTCGACGGCAAATTTGGGGATGGTGTGGTGCGGCTGCATTCCCCTTCTGGGGTTTTTCCCAAGCAAGGCCGGACAACTCGAGTAGTAAAATTTGTGAGGCATATTATTTTCTTTCTCCAATCCCTCTAAAGATTTATCTATCGGAATGTTTCCTAGTATTTGTTTCAGTAGGGTCAAGTGGCGTAGATGGTCAAATGTAGATGGTCAACTGTACTTAAGTAGCAGAGGTCCTTGGCTGCTATGACAGATACTCTTCAGGCTTAATCCAATTGTTTTCATATTTGCCAGATAAGTCAATGTTTCCTTTTTATTCTATCACGTCATTGTAGGGAGTTATCCTACCTTAGTATACTTGTATTTGGTTAATATCTTGTTCTTTGTCTTTATGAGCTGCATGTCCAGTTTATCTGAATTATTTTACATACACACTAATAGATACTTAATTTGTTTTAAAATAGTTCAAAGTTTAATTTATGGTAAATTTTATATTTAAAATATTTTTATTTTTACAGAGAAAGAGATATTTCAAAAAATTGAACATGGATTCGCAACAAATGCAAAATCAGGCAAATTTTCCGAAGAGTAATACTTATCCTCCGTTTGGCTTACAGTATCAGAACTCAAATGTCGGTACGAATCAGAATTACCCGGCAAATGTACCAACTCCGCAGTTTGACATGCAGAAGAATCTCTCTTATCCTCCGCCTTTGACGCCGTATCAGACCACTCAGTCTTGTTTGTATAATCAGTCTTTTCCTCCGTTTAATCAGATGCCTCCTCCTCCTCCTCCTCCTCCTCCTCGGAACGGTCCGTATCCGCCTTCTTTTCCGTCCGTCGACGTCCCTCCTCCTCGGTACCCTCCCGCGTTCTCTCAAGCTGCCGTGCCTTCCATGCAGCAATACGTGCCCCCTCCTAATTATGTGAATACGGCAAATTATCCTCAGCCGACGAGTTATCAGCCATATGGAAATTATTATAATGCTCTGAATGTGGGTGTGAATGCCAATTGTCAGCTCGGTAAAACCCAAGAAGAGCTGGATAAAGAATGGATAGGACAGTTTCTGTTGGTTAAAGGAAAACAAAAACTCCATCCGAGTAAAGAAGTCGAAATAATTGTAAGTAATTGAAATTTAATCAGTCTTCTGCTTGAGATTCGTAATTAAATCAGAGCATTTTCAGATTCCCGAAGTACAGAATCTACTACACAAAATATTTGCGTTAATAGCAAGACTGTCAAAGATAAGAGATAACTTGAAAGCAAAATCCTCAAACATGGAAGATGAAGTGTGGAAATCTGAATTAAAAGTGGCATATGGTATTATGGTAAGCATTGTTTAAATTTTGTCTCATTTATTTAAATCATATCTTACATTATTGTAATTTTTAGGACAAAATAAACCTGATTAGTGACAGTTTGTTTCAACCAAAAATTATCGAAAGACTGACACACAAAATGAGGAAAATAAAAAAGAAACGTGTAAGTGTACGTTAAATAGTCAAGTACGTACTAATTGGTAAAGATTTTAATTCTGTTTTTATACAGGAGAGACAGAGAAAACAGCGAGAGACGATTAAAAGGGAGAAACTGGAAGAAAATAACAGAAGAGACGAGCTGGATCGACAGATCGACTGCTGGATAGAAAGAGAACGAGAGAAAGTACTACAAGAGAAAAGGGTGCGGTCGGATGTTTTATTACATATTAAATTTAACACTTTAGGATTTAAAATAGAATATGCTAGTACAATTTTATTACTTAGTCTCTCTCCATGTTGCAAATAATAAGTGCAGATTTCCGAAAATAAAAAAACATTTTCTGAAATTATATTTGGATCCTTCTAGTAATAGCAGTAAGCATGATAATACACTTCTGTGTTGAAATCTGAGCAATATAATATAGAAGTCTCTTTACTAAGAACATGCCATTGTAACTTGTCCAGAAACATACATAATTTTCAATTAATTTTAAACATATAATTTTCTTTTATTCTTATTACTTTTATATGACACCCGTTTAACACAAGTATAACAAATTTATTATTATTAATAATTTTTTTAAATGTATAAAATTATATTTTAATACTTTAACAAACAGAATTGCAAATTCTAATTGTTAAAGTATATATCTAAGACTAGATTTTGTATCTACTCTTTCCATAGAAATAGTGTGTGCACCGAGCACTTGCATTCTAAGCAAAATTTCTTGTGTTTTCTATTGAAAATATATTTTGATCGATCGAGAGACTTTTGAGATTATTTAATTTTTTGTGTGTTATTCATGTTCAATTCAATGAAAGAAAAAAATTTGAATTTGATTTTCCAAATCAGTTCAGTAGAAATCTAGACAATGCGTTACATACTTCATTCATACCACCTGGGATGAGCATCTGGCACAGAATGGTATGCGGGCGGAAACAAAGCTGGCGGCAGATGTGGAATGACGTTATAAACTTTTGTTTGATGCATTTTCGCCTCCACAGATATGTTTTCACAGGTTGTATGAGAATTTTATATATGTTCTGGCAATGAAATTTCAGTTCTATAAAGTTCCATTTAATCATCCATTTTTTTGTTTTAAATAGTTTTATAATTTTCTAACTTGTCTCAAACTACCTTTTGCTCAAACTACCATTTGTAATACATAAAACACACCACTTCTCAAGGGAAACCAAGAATTAAATAAAACTGTGCATTTTATTTAATAGTTACAATAGAAATCTGTTAATTTGTCAGTTTTGCTTGATTGTTTAGATGCCTTACTTATAAAATTTACTGTTACAGGAAGAAGAATTGAAGAAAGATGCGGATAACATATTGTCCGAAGTGAGGAAGAAGATTCACGAAGCCAAACGGACACAGGAGAAACTTAAAGCACTGGAGAAACTAAGACAGACGAGAAAGGACGATGCCGAGAAAAAAGGTCGGCATTCATAACAGTGTTATAAATTTTATAATATGAAACTTGTTTTCTTTAGAATATTGATGGAGGTTTTATAAGTAATGTAATTATATCAGTTATACTGTGATAAGTAAAAATCTATTGTTACTTTACAGCTTTTCACATACGTTCGGAATTGGATGAAAGTTTCAAGAATGAAATATCGAAATTAAGAGAAATTGTCCAGAAACAGCTGACAGACTACAATGCAGAGGAAAAGGCTCTAAAAGTGATGCTGGAAACAGAACAGGAGGGTCAACGGGAGCAGGAAGAAATGAATCGTAAAGAGAGACAAGAGAAGTTATTAAATATGATGCAAAATGAGATTATAGAATGCTTATTTGGAGAAACGAGTAAGTTAAAAACTTCTTAAATTTTTTTTTTTGTAAGTATGGATATATAAATAAACTTTTATGTTTAGATATAACAGATCCCAATCACCCTTTGTGGTATTTTTATCAGTTTTATACTCAAGCGGAGTCAAATTTAGATGCATTATTACAAATAAGGTAAGTTGTAATGTCAACATTACACATTTACATTATATTTGTGTATAAAAATTTTCTGTTGGTTGCAAACTTTGTAAAATACCAAAAGTACTATTTGGAGTATGTTTTGCACAGTTTACTGTTAAAGTCAGCAATGAATCGTTATCTGTATTTAAAAATTTTTATTGTTCTTCCCTCAGGCATCAGTGGGACATGTACCTGGTGGTGTCGTCCGACAAGAATGGAAGCAACATCCCCGTCCACTGGGTCACACCGGATTGTCCAAGTAACGAAGTTTGGGCTTCGGTCCTCCAGACAGAAAGTGGCGAGTAATCTTCGTTTGTTTTAATGTTACGCAATAAAATAATTGTCATACTCTTGTAAATATTAATTTAATTTAATGTAAATAAAAATTCTCCAAAGTTTAAATGTTCTTTATATTCTTGCATATAACAGATGAGTCTCAATAAGAAAATCCGTTTGGCTCTGTTTGTTCTTAGGATTTGAATTATTTGAGAAGAAAGATTAATGAAAATGTAATTGTAGTACTTTTTATTCTCAGAATTTAAATAGGAAACTACCATCAAGGGGTTATCATCGTTGAAATTAATGATGAATATATGATATCAAGCAACTTTATATCTTTATTGACAAATCCATCGATAATACACCACAATATCGATCATATGTATTATGGGTGGAGGGATGATGATCATCTTTCCATTCATTCATCCATAACATCCATTTATTTTTGAAATGTGGAATGAAGTTGCACTTAAAACACAATTTAGATCCTTCCAAATAGAAGAAAACAGTGTTAATTTACACTTAACTCACAAAATTTAATAATTTAAAATTAATGCATTGACATTGAACAGAAATGTAGTCAATACATTAATCAAAAGTTTTGACATTTATGTACATCTATAAAATGATTTAATATTTCAAAAACGTTTAAAAGTACAGCTTTCACATTAAAATTCATAAAATTAGAATTCATAAAATAGAAATATAATATGAAAAATTTACATAAAAGAACTTTCAGAAGCTTAACATTGCTATAATAGCATCTATCTGGTGTAGAAAGGAACATTATTACAATGAATGATTTCTAAGAATCTCCTTTGAATGTTCGTTTCTTAAAGGAGTCTGCATTATATACTTAGAAATGTATTTCAAATATAAACACTATAATATTTGCTAATTAATGCTCCTAAATCTGAGGAAGTAGGATGCAGAGAAGACAGTATAGTGGCATAATCATGTCTTTAGGGGTAGCACAGGAAATAGGTTTGTACATATTTTTAAAAAATAATTCAAACATTGTTTCATTTAAGTGTCATATACCCTGTTCCGCCTGAATACATTTGATTTATAATTACACTTAAAGCACGAATACAGACAATGTGTGCTCTTGCGTTTTGGTGGAGTGCATATACATTGATGGCCTTAAACATGTATACAAAAGGAAAAATGTTTGTAATAACTGTATATGGTTAAAACATTTTACTGAATATTGTGTTAAATAATTTATCAACAGTCCAGACCAATTCTTATTGTTCACAAGAATCACTATAAAAACTGGATATATTTAGTATCAATAACTCCAAAACACCATTAAGAAATGATTATGTATGACTGTATTCGCAGCCTTTGTTTCTGACAGGGACATTGATGTGTTTTTTGACAGTCATTCTCCACCACACCGTGGTTCCTACTTGTCTTAAATATTTGAAAACACTGAAAATATATAAAGCTATTATTACTAAAGGAACCATAGTTAACAATACGGATTTGGCACCTAGACAGCATGCCTGGAAGGCATTATTTGAAGTCAAGTATGGTAATTGTCTTTGTTACCTGTACCTTTTTGCTACGTGGTATTTTGGAGTTATTGATGCTTGTTCTGAATTTTTCTGATTAACTCTTTTAACAAGATCAGTTCACACAGATACTACATGAATAAACAGAATTTCTTATGGTAAAATACTGTTTTCATACAAGAAATTGTTGTAAGAGGGTCATTTATTCTCTCACACAGATAAGATTAATTACAGCATAACAAAGCTATCGATTTATTTCCCAGGATGAGATATATTTATGCCTTTTATAAATACATAAAACTTAAAATGAATCATAGCAATGACAGGTTCTTAAAATGATTTATTTCCCTTAACACAAAACACGTGTGACAATAATAAAAACCTCTAGGCGAGTCAAAAGTCATCTACCGTGCATATATTATGCCATTTAGCTGTATCTAGGGCCTTAGGCTCCATGGCTTCGTTCCAGTGAGCCTCACCGGTAGGTGTAGTGCCCGGTCCCACTAAAACGTGACCTACGACCCCGTCTCGGGAGTACATGCGCCCTCTCATGATAAGAAACTGCAACCAATACTCCTCAGTTTCCTTGGAAGGTAGATCAAAGAGGAAGGGCTGGTTCCAAACTGGATTTACTCCTGAAGCGGGTCTAGTCTCTTTATAGGTAATGGCCTCTATACCTCGTAATATACTCACAATTACGTAGAATTCTACGAAAATTTTTTCAATAATGCACATTATGTATTTTTATTATTAAAGTTAAGTTTATTTACATAATTTCAATGCAGCTCACTTAACAGAAAGTGTTCGTAGTATATTCTTAGTAAATATCTGGTGAANGTCTTAAAATGGCATCCAAACCAAGTTGAGGTTAATAAGCCTAGGGATCTTACAATGCTATTAATTACTTCTGAAAAATCATGAATAAGACAGAAAAGTAATCGACATTGGATAGAATACAGAAAAAACATGACTAATAAAAATGCAAGAACGTGTATATATGTATCTTTATAGGTAATGGCCTCTATACCTCGTAATATACTCACAATTACGTAGAATTCTACGAAAATTTTTTCAATAATGCATTATGTATTTTTATTATTAAAGTTAAGTTTATTTACATAATTTCAATGCAGCTCACTTAACAGAAAGTGTTCGTAGTATATTCTTAGTAAATATCTGGTGAATTTAAAGTTCTCTAAATTCATCTTCAACTTCCCTTTTTGTTTGTATAAAGGAGGCGTACAACGAAAAACACCTGCATTATGAAAGCCGTAACATAACAAAATCTTCAAAACGAACGAGTCTTACTATCTTAACATTTCGGATTTGCATATAAGCTAAATAAGCACAGCTTATTTAGCTTATTAGATTAGGACCATCCAGTTGCTAGGTTGATAAAACCACTGAACACTGATAATGGATTTGCGCTTGGTCAATGCTCTGGCCACGTGGAATTTTCCACGTTTTCTTCACATTTGTAACACCCAAATAGGGACCAGTTTCCCATAGAAAGTCCTCTTGGTAAGCATTTCTCTTTGTCATATACATAGATTAGGGTCTCACATTTTTACATGTATCATTATTTGGTGGAAGAGAAGAATCTGTTAGACTTGTAGCCCTAAGCTATAATATATAAGTCCAGCCCTGGCGCTAAGCACGATAGAAGAGCGTGTAAATTCTAAGGATTTTTGTCCCCCTTGTCTTCTAACACCTCTACCGTCCTCCTTTGTGAATCACTGGTTTAGAACTTTAGATAATTAAATGATATAAATAGAATCTTAAGATCTGTTCGTCAGTTTGGAAGATTTTGATGCGTTTTATGTGTTAAAAGACTTTCTCAGAAGAGTAGTAGGCCTATATTCTGGAACACTTTCTATTAAATTTCCCCGCATTAAATTCTTGAACATAGAATAATACGCACCTGGTTGACCAATGGAAACTCCGGTAGCTTTTGGTAAATTTTCTGCTTTTCTTACTAATACCTTTAACCTGTTTGCAGCGACTTGATATTGGAGTATAACGAAAAGTTGTCCTAAGTCTGGGCTGCACATACTCATTCGTTTCTGAAACGAAGTAATTTTTCGGGTAAATTACACCCCGATTTTAATATTGGATGCTCCCAAAATGTCAAACTTCTCGTCTTTTTGCACGAGCAACATTTTGGGTTCACCCAGTATTTATATTTAACGGTTACTAACCTGTTTTAACGATCTGCTAGACAGGTTTTCGGATAATATTGCCGGACAGTCGGGTTGTAGAGTGGATCTAGCTAGCGGGAACCAAATCTCCCCGACGAGTTTGTCTTTAAGGAGTCGATAATGCTTAACGTACACGGATAATCTCAGGGTAAATCTTCTGATTTCGTCCAAACTGTACCCCGGAAACGTGAAATTCTGAACGTATTCGGGATTGAGGGATTTCTTAAAGACTTGAGTTTGCTGCGACGATTTCTTTCTGGCCAGGAGGGAGACTTTGACGAAGGAAGAACAATTTTTGCGGTATCTCAGGGGCAGATTGATGACTCGGATGATGTGTACAGTTAGTGTATTATTGCTGGCGACGTAAACCAAACTGAACTCGATGGTTGGAGTTTCTCGTGTTCGACTAGGTGATTCCGATCTAAGATTTTCACTCTCGGACCAATCGACGTCTAGCTTATTTTTTGGAGGTGTATCACCTTCGCCGTCGGTTTCCGAAAGAGAACTATCCCATTGGTCGTTATTTTTCAGCACTTCTAAATGGGGGAAATTGGGTCTCGGTGGTGAAGTTTTGATAATTGGTATTTTATCGTTAGGCACGCTCTGCCTGGAGATGTTAGTAGAGAGAAGATTTTCGCATCTTTTTAGCATTATCCTATGAGAATTCTTTATATTATCGATCTCCTTCTTTCTCTTCCTTTTATTGCGTATCCTCAAGGCGACGAATATTAAAATAATAATAATAAATGCCAAGAAGGCCGAACCTACGGCTATTAAAATCTGCAACCAGCCTGGAATTATAAAATGGTATTTAATATCTTTAAGTTCAATCATTGAGTTATTGTTTTAATCAATTTTCCGCCAATAAAGGCGATTTTTAAGTGCAAATAACCGCTATAGGAAAAACTGTTGTAAAAGGAAATTAGATAATACCGGATACTTTGCAATTTTAATCATCTATCTGACAGTTTTCAAGGCTAAAATTACAGAAAATATTACTAATTAATTTATTATTAATTATTTAATTTAATGTTTTCGAACAGCTTTCATTTACAACCTTTTGATCTAAATTTAACCACGCTGTTTACTGTCCCCATTAATATCTATTGTTATATTATTTCTTCTTAAGTAGTCGAATTAGAACAATATATACGGGTATATATTGTTCTAATTCGTGTATTTACATGACACGTGTGTAAACAAAGTATAATAAAGTACATCTGTTTATACTCGATCTTTGTAGACTTATAATGCGTGTGTTTTGTACAGTACATTTGCGTGTATGCTTATATACGGATATATTGTTTATACAAGTAGGCCTATAGTCAAATTTTGATTTAGCACCATTTATTCGCATTTGAAATTGGTACTAACACGCTAAAAGATACTTTAATTATTTTGTAAAGTATGTTTATACCCTATAGATAGGTCCATATTTAAACTTGTAATTCTGTTAAATGGTCTTACGTGTAAGTATTGCCTGTGTATAGAAAGTAGAATATAGAAGGCTCTTCTCTATTAATAAGCAGGATATTAGGGGGTTGTATGGGGCGCAGAGTAGAATGGGCCTTTCTGTCCCGTGCTGTCCCCCTTTTGTCTTTTTTTTTCTTTTTGGAAGAAATGAAATACGTAGAATGTTCTTTTATTAGTAAAATGCACTCTTAAAGATTTTACTTTTCGTTAGTAAAAACAACAAAGAACCCAAAGTTTACTCCAGGTCGGGAGGGGTGAAATCCCCAACTGCACCTTCCACGATTCTGTTAATAACTATATCGCGAACATTAAAAAATACATAAAAAGTAATTAAAATGATAATAGAATTTGACAGTAACATATTATAAACAATTAAATTTATCATCAATATTTTCTCCTGTTGTATCTACTACACTTTTCACAGGAAACGGATTGTTTCTATAGTTGTAACGAGTACAGTAAAAAAAAAAACAATAGTGCATTTACATTTCGAAGATTTCTGCTTGGTTCGTAAGAAATAAAAATAATAATTGTTATTTCTTTAAAATGAAATTAAAAAGCAAAAAAAAAAAATGCTTAAATATTTAAATACAGAAAAGTAAAAAGTACATAATAAAAAATGTTTGTGACTCAGGATGAATATGTATTTAAGTGAAATTATCTCTACATTCAAGGAGGAACTTTTGTATCATTGCATTTCCTTTGACTGATATTCTGAAGATAAAGACTAAACAGAAGAGAGGAAACTAATTTCGTAATGTAAGAAGACTTTTAAAAGAAAATAATGTCAAATTTCTTACATATATAATGGAATAAATTCGAAAAGTCTTGTTTGTCGAACCGTCCATGTATATACAAGGTTATTTAATGATAATTTGCATAAACTGTTAAGTGTAATGTTTGATTTAAGGACGTAATTGCAATTTTTTTAACGTTAGTTAACGGCAATATAATTATTTTTATATCTTATTACTAGTCATTACAACGAAGAATGTGTTTATGATAGTTATGACGATAATAAAAATGTAAGCAGAATGTTTACAATATTATTCATTTTCTGGCAACGTATTGTAGATATGTTTAAGATACTTCGAGGATAAAAATTACAAAAGAATTGGAAATTTTAAGAAAATTCTAATATTAGATAAATGTACAGTATATACACAAGTTTGCTAATCAGTCATTTCTATATGACTGCAAAGAAATGTTTGCGTATCAAGATAAGATTAATTCAATGGAAATTTCGACGTAATGAAAGCGTCACCCGTAAACATATTTACCGTTTTCTTCGTTATGTTTTCCCCCAATTACTGTGTTCATTTATTGCTGGTTTTTGGTTAGAGAGAACATCGTCTTAATTAATTCTAAAAATAAGATATTTGTAATATTTACACTAACTGAATAGGTGCTATTTTAATAAATAAATAACAATTACAAATCTCTTGTTTACTGGAGGTAAGAAAGTATGATCTCAACAATGGAGTCTCTCTAAAGTACTACACCCAATACTGATCCACGTTACCACGTATTTGAAAGTGTTTTGGGGGATTTTCCCCGTTGTCGTCATTCGGCCGCTCCATTGTTCGCATGGCCGAATCCACGATTGTCATGGAAAATTGGACCTCTTAGCGCCCGCGAGAGGTTCGATTTTCCAGACGTATCGGTTCCTCCTCATTCCTCTTAAAGGTGGTCATCGGTGAAAATATTTAACTTAATTCTGTTTATCTGAAATGGGCATGTGCATTATATTATTAGTGAGCCGAAATGCGTTATCACAATTTCTTCCTATAATTGGACCGTCCATTAATTACCTGTACAGTTAAGGGGATGGAGTGGCATAAAGTACGCTTAATTATACACTATAAAGTGGAACGATGCATTGTATATATGGACTTTTTTAATGTCTTATGAAGTTGTTCTTATAAACCTATTCATTACTCACATACCAACAGAACTTTTTAGTCATTTATTCAATGTCAGGGGTACATACTACACGTAATTAAAGGGGGTTAAGTTTGCCAAAAATACACCATTGTACACAACATGGTGGCTCAAAAAGTGATTAATGGACGGCTCATTACCAAATTATTTGTACTCTGAGCCCTTCTGATTGAAAATATTTAGCTTCTTATTACATTTTTATGGAAAATGAATGTATTTTATGAAGTATTTACTGCAATTATGTCTCATTATACAGTTATAAAATGGATGAATCATACGTTTCATATGGAATTAGAAATTTAATAGAAAATTGTATTTTATGTTCGAGTAAACGTTGTATATTAACCTTTTAAACGTTTAATAATATAAACAAGTCGTTATATGAAGGATTGTTTATATAATTAACCAGTTTAATAAGTTAAAAGTGAAAGTGTAGGAATGTTGAATTATATTACATTTGTGGCTTATTTAAATGATTAAAATTATTAAAATTAGCATTAAAAAGAGTTATTTAACCTTAAAAGAAGAGTTTTTACCTTTCATTTCGAGAAATTAAACTTCGTTTTGAAAAGAAGACGAAGCAGACGACATTCAACTTCCGGTTTCATTCTCTGATTACGTGCCTGACGTCATCACCGTAACTTAAAAATACTCATATTTTTTTACAGATATACGTAATTAAAACGACGTAATTTTCATAAACTATTACGCAATTTTAAAAATAACTCATTTATAAATTAATCATTTTAATCAAATTAGTAATTAATCATTAATTAATTAAGTTTTTTTTTTATGTAAACGCGTGCGCTACTTAACTAAAAATGACGTCGCACGCTGTACGATAATTAAAAAATATATATATTAATTAGAAAATAATTAAGATAATAATTAAAATTACTTTTAAAGTCTCTAATCAGTAAATATATTTTATTACGAACCTATGTCGAACGAGAAACTGCGTGATTACGATAATGTTTTCGTCGTGTGACGATTTACTTCCGACTGTCACGTGGTACCGCAGCTGTTAAACTCGACTAAATTTGTAATTTTTTATTATATTAATGATAATATAAAATTTCGCATAATTAATAACGTCATTAGATAAAGTAAAGATTTATTTTTAAAAAAGGAAGAAAAAATATAATAAAATAAATTTAGGAAAATTAGGGGAAAAATTAAAGGAAACGTTTAATTATAATTAAAAATAAAATAATTCTGGTTTGTGACATTAAAACTTACCTCTTCGCTGATGCGAAATGATTATATATGTGACATCATCGCGGTTTTATATCGCGGATCGTTGAATCTATTGAATGGATCGCAATAGTAATCCCTTGTTTGCAATAGAAAGCAATCAAAAACAGATCTGCTACACCCCGAAGCACTTTATGGATTTATCTAAAAATCGATAAATTCTACTTAAAATATAAAATTTAATTCTTTTGCAAGTTTAAAATTGAGAACAGCCTAATGAATTTCATCCTAATTGCATTATTTGAAATCGTTTTAATTGCAGTTAATTTTTATTATAATTAAACTATTTGCAATATTGTAATTGCAATTAATTTTTAAGTAACATTTTGATGTTTGCGTCTGTTAATCTCCAAAATTATAAAAATATATTTCATTCAATTCTTTTTTTATGGCCGAATGCTTTAATATCGCGTTTTTTCTTCTCCAGGAACAAAAAAATTTTTAATTTAAAATGAAATTTTTACTTTCCTGGCTGTTATACAGTACATAACAGAGGAAAAGTATGGCGATCGGTCAAAAATGACCCCCAACACTTGTAACCAGGATACAATGAGTTATAATGACAGACCTTAATTACCTTCGTTCAGGATGTACTGTGCCAAATCCAATCAACAAATAACCAATTAAATTTTACCATCTTTGATCAATTAATTTGTTGGTTAATTGAAACGCGCAGTACCACACATTCTAGGTTATATGGATTACTGAACAGAAGGGCGGGCCCCGTCCTCACCACCCGGCCGCCCCATTGTGGACCTGGCCGAACCCGTAATGGGCTTACTAAAAAGAGGCCATCTTAGTGCCCACAGAGAGAAAAGAGTTTTAAAATACAGGCGGGAGAGATGACACGAAATCGCTTCAGTTAAAAAATGGACGACATTTAGTGAAATTAATTAATTAAAAGTTTTTAATAATTTACAATTAAAATTATTAAATATAAATAATATTTTAAATTTATACTTTTGGCGAATTTTCTGCGATTTTTAAAAACGCGTAAAAGTTTAATATCTGGCAACCTTCCAACGTTTCGAAGTAATCTGGCAATAGTAAGTTGTAGATTTAAACGACACGTGGTTTTCACGTGTCTTGTCATTTGAAATTCGTAGTAGCTACAGAAGTTGCGAAGATGTTTTGGGGTATATTTAGTAATTTATTACATTTATTATAATGATTTATTGTGTTTTATATTTGTTTATATAGTATACATTTGCTATGATGTATGCATCATTAATGTAAAAGTGCTTGTTTTCTATTTATGAAGCTTATTTACTTTGAATTAAAATGTTTACTGCAAACATTTTTACATAAAACAAATTTGTAATGAATATTCTCGACGTTCTAGGTATATTTTACCATTTTACTAATAGATATTTACTATTGACGATAAGACAGTTGAGCGATTGTAACGTTCCAGTATCGTTTCTTCTTTCGTCTATGGTTTATTTCATAGTGCATTTCAGTTGTGACGTTTACAATGACGTTCTTACTCCTATGGACATAATTTGCAGTTCTGATAAGGTCCCACCGCTTCGTTTAGAGTTGCAATTTTACCCATTTTCGACCATAGAATACTTTTACTAGATATTTTGGAAAAATTTTGACTTTTATGGAGTCTGGTAGGAAACCTCCAATACAGGATATTTTGTGCATGAAGATAGGGTCAGTTGAAAGTGATTTTATAGGTATAATAATAGTAATAAAAACAGAGGATTCTTGTTATATAGTATGTCACACCAATGTCATTTTGCCATATAACTTGTTGATTAAAGGTACAATAAACATTGAATATATTTGAATGAGAATGTGTATAATATCTATTTATCTCAAATTATTTTGGTAAAATTTTCTTAATCTTCTTTTATGTTTACATTCTTAATTAAATTATATGTAATTGTGAATTATGTATACAGTAGGTATTAATAGAAATACAGAAGTGAGACATTGTGAGTACTCTTGTATACTCACAATGTCCACTTACATATTATTATTGTGAGTGTAGTGATTATAGCAAATCACATCATCTCTGTGCTGGTGAGATAAGATGGTTAATGCATCTATCTGCTATTTTGGGAGACTGGTGCAGATCTCCCAGAGTTTCTCGCAAACAATTTACTTTCCACTCTCTTAAGTGGTTGCACTGTTACAGGTTTGGTCTAATTCGCTGGTGGATTAAAAGCTTCTAATGCCCACAGGGTGGAGCATAAAAATATATGAAGGCTGTTTTTTTTTCAACCTCTGATGATCCATAAAACAAAGATAAATGTAAATAACAAAATGAATTTATTACCAAAAGTTGGGTATAAACAGTTACTTTTTGACATAATCACCATGAAGATTGAGGCATTTGTTTATCTGTGGATGAGCTTTGAAATCCCCTTGTCATAGAATGTTGCTGCCAGTGAATTGAGATGGCCTTAATGACGTTGTTTTGAAGATCATCATTAGTCTTGAACCTCTGCTCTCCTAGCCATTTTTTCTGTTCAGGAAAGACGTGGAAGTCGCTTGGTGTTAAATCAGGGTTATATGCTGGGTGTTTAAAGGTGGTGAAGAGTTCCACTTTTCAGACTTCCATCCAGCTTGGAACTTTTTAATGTGTGAAGACTTCTACCTTTTTCCTAAACTGAAAACATGGCTAGAAGGGCAGAGGTTTGAGACTAATGATGATCTTCAAAACAATGTCGTTAAGGCCATCTCAATTCACTGGCAGCAACATTTTAGGAAAAGGGGGTGGAAAAGTTCATCCATAGATATGACAAATGTCTCAATCTTCACGGTGGTTATGTCAAAAAGTAACCATGTTTATACCTAACTTTTGGTAATAAATTCATTTTATTTCCACTTTTTTTTTTTTTATGTACCATCGGAGGTTGAAAAAGAAACAGCTCTCATATACACACATTCAATAATATTTTGCCATTTGTTCATTACAAATGAAAAACATTCAAGAAAATTGTGCTGTACAGTGAAGAAGTGACATAATTTGAAGTTAGATGTTAAAATAGAAGTGATAAGTAATTATTTTGCAATTATAATAAAAATACTCACTGATTTTAGTCTACAGTAAAATAAGTATTCATTATTTATATAAATGATACTTCCATGTAAATTGAAATTTTTTAGTTGGTCTGGAATTTATCTTTTATAACAAATCCCATTGAAATATATATATATATATATGTTGGCAGAACTTAGATTCACATCTCGCATCTGCCCAAGTATTGCTGTTTTCATCCTCTTGTAATAGTTCTGTTATTGGGCATAGTGATCTCTGTTTTATAGACTCCAGAAGGAAACTGAAACTAGCCAAACTTGAAAAATGAGTAGATGACATCTGAGTGGCAACAGGCAATGGGAGGAAATAGGGTATCTTGAAAGGGGTCAGCAGCAGTTGGAAATAGCTCGAGTCCTAAATGTCAATTATTCCATCATTTGCTGCCTGTGGAACCAATATCAATGTGAAGTAACTGTATCACGAAGACCAGAAAGTGGATATCTGAGAATTACATCTTCTCAGGATGATCATTTTCTGTCTGCAATCATGATGCTACAGGTCAATTACTGCACATTAGCTTGCTTTGGTCCTTGCTCCACAATAATGGGATACTGTGCTCTTCGCAGATGAGTCAGTTCGATCTCCAGACTGATTCTGGATGGTTATTGGTCTGGAGAACATCTAGAACTGTATCATGCCAGTAACATCCATAAAATACGCACACGTGGTTTAACGCAACAGTGGTTTAAAGGTTTGGGCAAGGATTTCTGTAAATGGCCATGCTGATCTTCATATCTTTCCTTGCAGAAATGTGACTGACTGCAGTGATATAGAGATGACATCCTTGCATAATATGTTTGCCTATTTCTTGCAGCCATGAGCCCACATAGCATTTTTATTGATGATGATGTGAGAGTTTCCACAGCTTACATTGTCAGACAGTACTTGGACTCAAACACTGTGTCTATGGAATGATCAGTACAATCACCATACAAATCCCATTGAGCATATGTAGGACATGCTTGTGAGATGTTTAGCTTTTCTCCATGACTTCTTCCCAGAACTTTCATGAGCTAAGAACATGTTAACTCAGTGAATGGGTACAGATACATCAAACTGCCATAGATCTCATTCTTTGCATGAATTGATGAAAAGGTCTCACATTCCATATCGATAGACCTTCACCAATGAATTTTTTGCTGCCCAAAATTCTGTCTTTGTTTACCTCTATTATTTATTTCTTGATCATTTTTTTGAATTTTCCCACACTAGTGTCTTTTGTTACACCCCATGATCTGTGAAAATTTCACTGATTTGGAAAATTTCTTTTTCTTCTCATCCATTTTTTTCACTGAGTGTACTGCTATATAGAATAATTTTTAGAGAATTTAATTCTTGGACATCAACAGCCTTTCCTGGATGTGTCATTGAACCTTGGCTCAATGACATCACCACACGAGATTAGCTATTTCCATCTTGTTCAAAAAGAATTGTAGGAAAGTCATGTTGATTATTCAATACTGCTACAACAATGACAAATGTTGAACCGCAGCTAACTTTTGAACAACGAATGACTAAGATAAAACTGCGATGATGACTAGTGTGAATGTTTTACAATGCTGAAGGATTAAGAATATCAGTTATTAATATTGTTGTAAGTAGTGTGAAAGCAGTCTAACTTGGCCTAAATTATAGAAAAAATGGAAAAATAAATGCAAAAGTGGCTGACTTGGCTGTTCTAGAATTTTAAACAGTTTTGATACTTTGGATTAAATATAGTTTATACTAAAGTTTCACTAATGATTAATTATGTAATTAATATTTTACTATTATGCTTTCAGGTGTAACTATACAGAGTAATAAACCACATAGAGAAACTGTGAAGATGCCATTTCATATCTCGATGGCTACATTAGTATGGAATTCCGAACGTAAGTGTACTTGATTTTTCCGAATATGTCAGACTTTTTTCTCGATTTGAAGTGTGTTATTGTTTAATATGTGTAGAAGTTGCCAAAGATAAAAAGTGTACGTCCGTCATTCTAAAATACGAAGGAAGGGATTATGTTTTGTGTACGTTGGAATATGGGAAGGTCATGTGCGTGCCTTTAGATTTAGTTTTTGATAAAGGAGAACGAATAGGATTGCACGTAGCGGGAAATGGTATGTTTTTTGAAGTACTTGAGTACCTTTATATATTTAATGATTTTTAATAATATTGTATATATTTTAGTAATTTTAGATTAAAGAGGTATAATTCTATATTATATTTAATGTAATTTCTTTTGTAATACTACAGTTATAAAATGCATTGAATGAATTTTATTTTACATGTAATCACGTTGATTGTTGGAAATTGCACTATTCTGTAAACTTTACAAAGGTTTGATATGTGTGCACTTGGGTCGTCATGTTGCATGTGACTTGTCATCATGCATCTCTCAGCTATATTACTTTCTTTGGCGTTGTGTAATCATTAGATTACACAACGCCAAGATTTCTTTGAAATTAAATGCTCTTTTGACCTATAGTGCTATAAATTCCTTTGTGATATTGTGATGATAATAGATAGATATATACCTCAAACCAAAGCTCTAATTTAGGGTTTAATCAGCCATATTGAGATGGCAAAATGAGTGAAAACATCTTTCATTTCGTCAACTTTGACATTAAAAAGTAAAAAGAGGTTTTGGAGCATGACATTAATGTTAATAGGTACAATTTGGGGTATTTTCAACATTTACTTGAAGTTCTTGAAAAAGAGGACATGAAATTCTAAAAGTATGTGAAAGCCTCTATAGTTAGTATGAAGGTTGTCAAAGGGAACAAATGGCATTGTCAAAAACATGTGGAACAGCGTAGCATTGGTTTCTGGCAGAACTGTGGCATACAAAGTGATAGAGAGATAAAAAGAATGTCTAGTTGTGCTATGAACTATAAATATGTCCAAGCCCCAAATTGCATGATATTGCTTTGTGTACATAGTTTACAGTGCACTACAAACTCTGTGCTTTCTGTGCAGTGTTTCATTTGTTTAATGCAGCATTGAGTTTGGTATATAATATAAGTTTCCAGTGTGTTCCAACCATTAGATTTAGAACAAAAATCTTAAGAGGCATTTTGAAAGCCTTTGACTATTATTTAGACTTAATATTTGGTCCTGAAAATGCTTAATCTCAAATAAATTTTGGACTTTTGTAATATTTTAGTGTTGTATTATTTGTCTTTCATTCCTCTAAAACTGCATTGTTAAGCATTGAGTTATAATAGCATTTCTGTCAATAGTTGTCTGTGTAAGGTCAGTCGTTGGACTGGCAGCTTTGCAACAGTTTTTGCTATTCTCTTTTATCTTGTGTTTTTATCTTCATTTCCTGGTGTGATGTTGATATTGTACTTTGTCTTATCAGGTGCTTATGGTAAACTAACAGGTGTAAATGAACTGAAATCAAATTTTGGTGGCACAGGTTTCTTCAGATCTGAAGTTTACATAGCTTGATTTTTAATGAATATCGAGAGATTTCTGAGGGAATTAAATCAATATTGGTACAAGACTAGTCACCTCATCTGTTGTTTTTGCTGTGCCATGAATAGAGTGGGCCATATATTTTTCTTTCTGTATATTGGTGTACATGAAGGCTCTTTTTACTCTTTAATTTGTTAATAAACATTTAAATCTCAATATAACACCCTCCTGAAAAGCATCATTATCGTGAAGTCCGAGGAATAGTTGTGAATGAATCTTCTCGAACATTAAACTAAAGAACAGTTCGTAATCTGTGTTCATAATATTAAATGAATAGTTTCTTAATGTAAATGATGATGATATTTCAATTCAATACAGTGTAGTTGTTAGTGCCTTGATTCCACAGAGCACTTCCAAGGTAGCAAACATCAAGTTACAGAAAGAATATAAAACATTAACACAGCAAAGAAGCATTGAAATGCATTGTTATACAAGAAAATACACACAGTTCATGTGTTGAAACATAGCAGAACAAAGCATAAGTAAAACTGACACTATTGTTAACTAATCAAGTGACAAACTCTCAAACTTGTATGTCAACTTCTTTGTGTGATTCTCATTGTTAATGTTCATTAGTTTAGTGCCATGTTTAATTTAATGCCAGTTTCAGAGGTCAAACAATTATGCTAAAGCAGAAGACTGGATCTAGAAAGAATACATATTCACTTCTTGGTCTCACTTTTTCAATTATTTACCGACCTCTGCTTTCTCAGAGTTAAGTTTAGAAATATTTTTTCATAATTTGATTCTATGAGATTCTATAAATAATATCATCAAGAATAACATTTGGCACAATTGTTTTTCCTTAAGATAGTCTTGTAGAATGTTGAACACGTGGAAAAATGTTTAAGGCAAACTTTTAAGATACACTTTGAAGAGTTTCATTTACTATTAATCTATACTGTATACAGTTTGGAAAGTATAAGTAAATATTTTCTCTTATGTTTAGTTATTTCATTTAATATAGTTATTTTACCAATAAAGTTAATCTTATTGATATTTTTACTTCTAGGAAGTGTCCATCTCTCGGGTTTTATGGTCCCGGATGATCATTCACAGANGTTTGCTCAATAAATAATCAGTCAACGAGAATAAAATATATTGAATAAATTTTATTTTACATGTAATCACGTTATTTGTTGGAAATTGCACTATTCTGTAAACTTTACAAAGGTTTGATATGTGTGCACTTGGGTCGTCATGTTGCATGTGACTTGTCATCATGCATCTCTCAGCTATATTACTTTCTTTGGCGTTGTGTAATCAAAAGATTACACAACGCCAAGATTTCTTGGAAATTAAATGCTCGTTTGACCTATAGTGCTATAAATTCCTTTGTGATATTGTGATGATAATAGATAGATATATACCTCAAACCAAAGCTCTAATTTAGGGTTTAATCAGCCATATTGAGATGGCAAAATGAGTGAAAACATCTTTCATTTCGTCAACTTTGACATTAAAAAGTAAAAAGAGGTTCTGGAGCATGACATTAATGTTAGTAGGTTCAATTTGGGGTATTTTCAACATTTACTTGAAGTTTTTGAAAAAGAGGACATGAAATTCTAAAAGTATGTGAAAGCCTTTATAGTTAGTATGAAGGTTGTCAAAGGGAACAAATGGCATTGTCAAAAACATGTGGAACAGCGTAGCATTGGTTTCTGGCAAAACTGTGGCATACAAAGTGATAGAGAGATAAAAAGAATGTCTAGTTGTGCTATGAGCTATAAATATGTCCAAGCCCCAAATTGCACGATATCACTTTGCGTATATAGTTTACAGTGCACTATAAACTGTGCAGTGGTTCATTTGTTTAATGCAGCATTGAGTTTGGTATATAATATAGTTTCCAGTGTGTACCAACCATTAGATTTAGAACAAAAATCTTAGAGGCATTCTGAAAGCCTTTGACTATTATTTAGACTTAATATTTGGTCCTGAAAATGCTTAATATCAAATAAATTTTGGACTTTTGTAATATTTTAGTGTTGTATTATTTGTCTTTCATTCCTCTAAACTGCATTGTTAAGCATTGAGTTATAATAGCATCTCTATCAATAGCTGTCTGTGTAAGGTCAGTTGTTGGACTGGCAGCTTTGCAACAGTCTTTGCTATTCTCTTTTATCTTGTGTTTTTATCTTCATTTCCTGGTGTGATGTTGATATTGTACTTTGTCTTATCAGGTGCTTATGGTAAACTAACAGGTGTAAATGAACTGAAATCAAATTTTGGTAGCACAGGTTTCTTCAGATCTGAAGTTTACATAGCTTGATTTTTAATGAATATCGAGAGATTTCTGAGGGAATTAAATCAATATTGGTACAAGACTAGTCACCTCATCTGTTGTTTTTGCTGTGCCATGAATAGAGTGGGCCATATATTTTTCTTTCTGTATATTGGTGTACATGAAGGCTCTTTTTACTCTTTAATTTGTTAATAAACATTTAAATCTCAATATAACACCCTCCTGAAAAGCATCATTATCGTGAAGTCCGAGGAATAGTTGTGAATGAATCTTCTCGAACATTAAACTAAAGAACAGTTCGTAATCTGTGTTCATAATATTAAATGAATAGTTTCTTAATGTAAATGATGATGATATTTCAATTCAATACAGTGTAGTTGTTAGTGCCGTGAATATGGACTTTTTTAATGTCTTATGAAGTTGTTCTTATAAACCTATTCATTACTCACATACTAACAGAACTTTTTAGTCATTTATTCAATTTCAGGGGTACATACTACACGTAATTAAAGGGGGTTAAGTTTGCCAAAAATACACCATTGTACACAACATGGTGGCTCAAAAAGTGATTAATGGACGGCTCATTACCAAATTATTTGTACTCTGAGCCCTTCNCTCAATATAACACCCTCCTGAAAAGCATCATTATCGTGAAGTCCGAGGAATAGTTGTGAATGAATCTTCTCGAACATTAAACTAAAGAACAGTTCATAATCTGTGTTCATAATATTAAATGAATAGTTTCTTAATGTAAATGATGATGATATTTCAATTCAATACAGTGTAGTTGTTAGTGCCTTGATTCCACAGAGCACTTCCAAGGTAGCAAACATCAAGTTACAGAAAGAATATAAAACATTAACACAGCAAAGAAGCATTGAAATGCATTGTTATACAAGAAAATACACACAGTTCATGTGTTGAAACATAGCAGAACAAAGCATAAGTAAAACTGACACTATTGTTAACTAATCAAGTGACAAACTCTCAAACTTGTATGTCAACTTCTTTGTGTGATTCTCATTGTTAATGTTCATTAGTTTAGTGCCATGTTTAATTTAATGCCAGTTTCAGAGGTCAAACAATTATGCTAAAGCAGAAGACTGGATCTAGAAAGAATACATATTCACTTCTTGGTCTCACTTTTTCAATTATTTACCGACCTCTGCTTTCTCAGAGTTAAGTTTAGAAATATTTTTTCATAATTTGATTCTATGAGATTCTATAAATAATATCATCAAGAATAACATTTGGCACAATTGTTTTTCCTTAAGATAGTCTTGTAGAATGTTGAACACGTGGAAAAATGTTTAAGGCAAACTTTTAAGATACACTTTGAAGAGTTTCATTTACTATTAATCTATACTGTATACAGTTTGGAAAGTATAAGTAAATATTTTCTCTTATGTTTAGTTATTTCATTTAATATAGTTATTTTACCAATAAAGTTAATCTTATTGATATTTTTACTTCTAGGAAGTGTCCATCTCTCGGGTTTTATGGTCCCGGATGATCATTCACAGAAAGACTGTTCCGAATCTTCTACTGACGAATGCGACGAATCTTGCAGCCTTAGCAGTGAGGAGACTTATCCCTGTATGCTTTAAGTTGCTCGTATTTGAAATTATTAACATTTTAAAATAGTTTTTGAACATGTACAGAATACACTGAGTACTTAAGAGAAGGAAAACTGAACACAGCCTTGTCCAAGGAGATGGCTGCAAACAAAAATATAAATCTGGTGGCAGAAGGCAAAAGTGATCATAACCAATTTTAAAAATAATGAGATAAGAATAGAGGAATTAGTTATATCTTAAACTAACACCAGTGGTCAACAAGAGACAAAAAGGCAACTTAATGCACACTGGGTCTGGCCTCTGAGGGCATTAACTAGAGTAGACATTGAGGAAAAGGAAAAAGTTTAACAGATGAGCTGACCCACACAGACTGTTACATCATTAGTCATGTTCAGGCAACACATTTGCCAAACTTGTCATCCACAATAAATCCTGGTGAACACATTACAAAAGATTCTTATTAATTTTCTTCAAATAAAATAAAATTATTTATGATTTAATTGACAATATTTTTAGGTCATTAACTTTATTTAAAAGTTGTTATAATTTTTAAAACAATTAAAAAAAAAAGTTAGCCAAAGCTAGGATCGAACATACAAGGTGTGACAATTAAATTACAGGACTGGGGTAATAAAAGAACATATATTGAAAAACCCTTTTAATATGTTTTAAAGTAACCCCCTGGGGGGCAATGCACTTCTCGCAATGCTTGTACAAGTTCTTGAAACACTTCCATTAACAGCTCTCAATTCCTTGATCACATTGCACTGCATGTCCTCCAGGTCGTTGAATTTTTGTCCCTTCAATGTGATTTTGATTTTCAGAAACAAAAAATAGTCAAAGGTGACAAATCTGGTGAGTATGGAGGATGGCTCAACTCCACAATTCTACGTTTGGCCAAAAACTCCTTGACAACAGTTGCAGTGTGCGGGCAGGCATTGTTGTGCAGCAGTACCCAGCTTCCTCTTGCTTCAAACTGAGGCCTAACCCATTTAGGTTTGGGCTTTGTTTTCATAGTAATTAACCTATCATCCAAATAGACATTCAACAGTCATATCACAGCACATCTCTGATTTTTTTTCAATGTTTTCTGGTTTTCGAACTGATTGAGGTCGTCCAGGGCGAGCATCGTCCTCAAGGTCTTCCCAACCATCCGTGAAACGCGCAAACCACTTGAAAACACGAGAGTGGGATAGGGCATCATTCTCATAAACTTGCTTTATGAGGGCCTATGTCTCTGTTGCACTTTTATCCAGCTTGTAACAAAACTTAATGTTTGCTTTTTGTTCCATGACAACAACGTGATATCACTTTCTCACAGCAATATATGAATGGAGTACAGAAAAAGAACGAGTTACAAGACATGAGCAAATCTTTGCAGACAAGTAACTAGATGGTTGAGCCATTATGACAAGCTTAGAGAAGTTTCTGCATGCTGACACTGCAGCACTACACAATCAGTCCTGGAATTAAATTGTCACACCTTGTAGATCACCCGCATTGTAAGCGAGTTCGCTACAGACAGCCATTTCGCTGTGCTACCATAGTGTAAAATCAACCAGTATATGATCTACAATTAAAACTTTAGAGCCCTTGGAATCTTCTGGCTAGTGCGCTTTACAATTCTTCTGGGTGGACATCCTTGAGGTATACTACTAACCTGAGAAGTCTCATCCCGAACTGAATTTCTGAGATTGTAAGGTTCCCTTGTAAGAGTATCTGCTTGTCATACTCAATGCCAATCTTCTATTTCATTCCTCTCTTTTAGGCTCTGCCTTTCTCATTGTTATTATTTTTATTATATATCACATGATATAAACAATTTCAAACATTTTTACATCAAGATTTTGCTTGCTATAAATGTCGTTGTAAATTAATTTTTGTATTTCTTTTGATGTTTTTTATATTCTGAGTTACATATTATTATTATTGGGGTGGAGGAAATCTTATGTCCAAAGGACAATTCCTACTGTATTTAAAAATAAATAGCATTTAATGAAGTTAAGCCTGCTGGAGTAAAGATTTAGTATATGAATTGTTGACATAGTATGATTTAAATATTATTTATTTCATGCTAATATATTAGTACACGAATATTAAAATTACTTTTCAAAAGCTGTATTACGTGTTAGCTCGTATGATTGTTCTTAGTAATACAAATCTTATATTTGTTTCTATTCCTTTACACTTGACAACTTAGTATTTCCTTTATCTTTTGTCTACATAAAATTATTTAGATTGTAAAGTACTGGGACATAATTTATGATCTTTCATACATAAGATTTCATTATCTTTAGTTAAAGTAAGAATGATACTTCAAAAACATTGTTTTAATTTATAAAGATAATATATATGTTATCGTTACAACTTAGAAATAATTTGGTGGTTTTAGTTCTAAATTTTACAGTTTATCTCATGAAATATTTAGCATAAACTTTAATTTTTTTCATTTTATAAACAGCTAGTAGTGAAAGTGAAAGTGTTGAAAGCACGTCTTCAAGCAGTGACGATACACCACCCAAACAGAAGAAAGGTAAATTCCTATTTAAGAAAGTATATGTACCTATAAATTACCTCTATAAACTCTTACATTGAATTCAAGGAATTACAAAAGGTTTTGTTTAAGTAAATTATCAAGATATAGCTAAAATATTCTTGCATTCTGTTTGTTTATCTCCTTGTAAACAGTAATAAATGGATCTGCAAGAAGGAATGCCTACTTTGAATGTGCAATTATCCCAGAATTTCCTGATGAGCAAATGTAGCAATCCCGTCAGGCAGCTATGCATCTTCTAAAGTCTAGATTTGAAACCATTCTGACCCCAATTCCTCAAATAGTTTTTGAAGAATTGGGTGTAAGGTGTGTTGTCATTCCTATTATTCACAGTAGCTAATATTGTTGTGGTAATGCTCACATCTAAGATTATCAGTTGAGATAATTCCTGCATATTGTCGTATGTGTTAAACCAACCAAAACAATTTTCTGAGAAGACCGTGTAAGGAGGATGATGAGTCTGTTGCATTTGAGTAAATGAATTTTATTTCTCTGTATCCTCAAATTTTTAAATGGTTTGGTCCAGTACATTTAGTTCCATTTTTCAATATCTGACTACTTCATTGTAGTCTCATTTACTAGTTTGTAGGTGTTTGGATCTATTTTAAGTCACTGATCCATAGACGCAAATGTTGCGTATAACCTCATTAATGGTGATGAAATGAGGTTTTTGTATTCCAAAATAGAATTTTTTTAACAGAGAGGGTTGAGATTCTACGAGGAAAGATGATGCAGAGTGGGAATTGAGCTTGCAGTTCTTGCATATTGGATAATGCTATTTAGGTTTGGGCTTTGTTTTCATAGTAATTAACTAACTCTTAATTTACATTGAAAATAAGCATTTGATTTTGAAATATCAGAAATTTATACAAAGATTATATTTTTTGCTTAAGGTATGGCAAAAGATAGAAAACTTCCTAACAAGATAAATCATTTAAAAGAGAAAGCTATAGAGGTAAAGAAAACAGCAAAACAATCTCCTAGTTGGAGCATTAGGTCGGAGTCGAATAGGCATAAGAAGTGTGTGCAAACAAAAAAAGATGTCAGTAAACAAAAAGCTAAAACTGGTTTGTAAAAAAATATATTTAATTAAGTTTCCTTTGACTTGAAATTAATTAAAAATTTCCATGTTTTTTTTTTAGAGAACGAAAATGATAGATTGGATTCAAATGATAGTGGAATGAGTGAAAATGCCCAAAATGATTTCAACAAAGAAAATGAAATTGTTCCTAAAAACAAAACTTCAGAGGTGACAGAGGAGGATATATTAAACGTATCGATATCAGACAAGGAGGATGCGATGGAAGTACGTGGATTGTCCGTAGTGGCCGTTAATTCGTGTACCAAAATCTCTAAAATGCTAGAGAAGGAAGCTGTCAAAAGAAGTAGTTCTGTTGAAAAAATGGCAAGTTTTACCCCAGCAAGAAAGAAGAAAAAGAAAAGCAATGTGGAAACTTTGAATTCGTCAGTCAAAGCCGTGAAAGAAAATACGGTAAGTTCGTAATCACTTATGCTAATGCTCTTTAATATAGTGTTTATTTTACGAATTGTTTGTAACCTTAATATTTCAAATATATTTAGTTTTATATAAAACAGACATCAGATGCATGTGCACTTTTTAACATTTTATTAGATCTTAATATACAAGATAGATGTAATTTGGGATTATTTCTTAATCCTTCATCAACCATATATGCTATCTATTAAGTTTTAAGAATTGCAAACTGTGGCTGATGTTCAAATCGAACCAAACCATTGTTTGGTTCGATTATTTTGTTGGTGAAACAAATATATTTCAAATCCATTCTGTTTGAGTCTCGATGAGTGCATTTGATTTTTAACTTAAATGTTTTAATTCTCCATATTTAAAACAATATGAAACATGGTACAATATGGTGTGACAGTCTGATGATTACAAGCCTACAGAATTTTTGGTTTATCAGGCAGAAATGATGTAGTCAAAAGAACCTATCTTAACAGATGAATTTTAAAGAAACTGTTAATTATGTTAAATATATGATTTTATAACATCAAACATTTGAAGAGAATTCTCAAAATTAAATAAATCTGTTTAAATATTTGGCATTTTGCAATTCATTTTACTGTGGATCCTTACATTAGCTACACACTGGCTTTGTTCTTTATCCTGTGCAGAATATACTGTATGTTGTAATAAATGTTATTGTTAAATATACTAATATATCATTGTTGTTTCCCTATTTCCATTCTGCATGATTTTTTTTCTTTCATTCAACATATAATTAAAGTAAGGAATGATTAGATGGTTGAGGCTGTTAAGGCGTCAGTCTATAACCCATGGAGACCAGCGATTAAATTCAGGTAGTCAAAGAAACTGGAATTTTTAATGGATGGTCCATCCTGGATACATTGGGCTGTGTCTGTCATAACCCAGCCACTCCATTGTGAATTCAGTAAACTCACAATGGATACAGAAAAAGGGCAGTGTCAAAAATGGGACACACTGCATTTTTTTCTGGAGAGAGATCCCCATTTTTGACTCTTTCTGCCCTTTATAGACAGAGTAAATGATTTTTTTCAGAGCATTTGGATAATATATAAGATTATTCAGATTTGAACTTTACATGATAACATTACTCATCATTTATAATTAATTTGTATTGATGTGTCTCTTCTCTATCTTTTTCTCACAAAGGCTGAGGATCAGAAATTATGTATAAAAGATAAAATAAAAAGTGTTAATGACTGATATTTTAATTCATTTAGGGAAAGGATTTAAAATCGATCATTACAGATACGGTAGATATCGAAGTCGGAAACGGTCCCGTGGCAAGGAAGGGAAAACTTGTAAGTTTTAAATAAAGTATGTTAACTGAAGAAAACTGTTTTGCACACAATTAACATAATTGGTTTACGTGTGTTTTTCAGGTACACGTATGTTACGTAGGCTATTTAAGTAACGGAGAAGAGTTTAAGTCCGTTAGGAATCGTCCCTTTTCGTTTCGTCTTGGTAATGACAAGGATGTAGTAAAAGGATTGAATTCTGGTATAGAAGGTAAATTTTTTGCTACAGTTTAATTACAGAATTATGAGAGAACACTTAAAATTGTCATGCCAATCAGCCATATTTATATACTGAATGTCCAAAGAAGACATTGTGTGTATTATGTTCACTTGGGTTATTTACCTTACAATTGTTGATTACTCTGTGCAATTTTTAACCCATTTTTAAACTTTCACATTCTTTTTAGAAAATATATCTAGTATTAAATGTAAAGTTTATATCAGTCTGTAATGCTTTAGAGCAGTGTTTCTCGACCTCTAACCCCTTCAATAAAAACTGTTATGTGGTATTGCCCCCTTCACTTCAAAATTCCGATGCCGAGGGCCAAGGCTAACGCCAAATTTGTACTGCATTGAATAGACTAGTGACTAGTATAATGTTATTTGTTTAATTATTGTACGTTATAATGAATAAAATATCTAATTATTCTTAATATAATGTTTTACTATATCGCCCAGAAAATTGTTTTTTGCCCCCCCAAAATATAAGTTGTTACTAATCGCCCCCTGAACATGGGAAAACACCCACGTGGGGGCGATATCGCTCCCGTTGAGAAACACTGCTTTAGAGATAAGGTAGCATGTAATTCGTGGTACAGGAGTTGTGTAACCTTAATTTGGCAAAACTAATCTGACAGAGCTTTGGAACCAAGGGTGTCAGATAATTGGTACTGGACCTATTGCATATTTCTGTATACCATATATTTGATAAATGGTGTTCAATATTTTTTCAATAGACAGTAAAGATGTTTATTCCAGGATATTCTACTGAATATAAATAATCAATACTTTGTCGACAATGTTACTTGTAGTTGAATGGAAAAATTCTTTGAATGTACAGGGTGATCCATTCAGGACTGGAAGCTTACTTTGTTCCGTACCTTGTGATTGCATAGTCACATTTCAATAACGTGTAATTTAAAACATACCTTGATTGACTATTTTGTCACAAATCATTTAGTTTGTGTTTTGTGCTCTACCTTTTATACAGAGGTGTTCCACATAGTTTCACTGAGGCTGATGGTGGGATAATCAAATAGTGTGGGAGAGACTTAATATATCTAGGACAGACACCCGTAAACAAATCCTGGGGTCACTTGCTTGGATTCTATATCAGATGCTGCAGCTGTCAGATTGGATTGATAGAATAAGATAACACAACACTTGGGCAATCTATCAAGAGGGATGCCTCCCTAGAGAATTTTGTATGATAAACTGGCCTCTTAGGTGTTATACATGCGAAGAAAACCCAGAAATCTCTACGTAGCCAGCACATTGCTCATGTGAATCCACAGAAAGTGTCAATGTTCAGTGGGTGTCACTTGGTGTCAGACCTTTTTCTTTTAAGATTTAATTTTATAAATGTATAGCATTAATATGGGATTATAAAACAAGTTATATTGTTATATACTTTACTAAATATGAAAATAAATTTCAGTTTTTTCTTAAATAGGCATGAGAGTTGGAGGGAAGAGAAAAATCATAGTTCCTCCTTCAGAAGGGTAAGCATATACAGTAATTTAGAATTAGAAGATTTGAATGTCACAATAACTGAAATATATATTCTTATATAATTACTTTTTGAGGTTTGGAAACAAAACAGTCGGATCCGTTCCTCCCAACAGCACGCTAATTTATGAAGTGGAGTTGAAAGCGGTCAGTTAACATCTGCAAACTATAAAAGAAGAATTTATAAATTTAAATTTTTGATTTGGATTTTATATTTTTACATTCAAAGATTACTTTGTGAAGTATATTTAATTTCATTGTTAAAGTTTATTGATATATTTAAAATTGTCTTTTGTTGTAACAAATCAAGGAAGTTCAGATTGTGGTGAAGAATTCTGTATCCAAATTTGATTTTAAAGTTATATTGTTACTAAAACATGCTGTATATATTAAATTTAGATTTATTTTTTAAATAAATTTTGAGGATTTCAAATGAGTGATTTAGTTTTTGTAATAGCTTCAGCAAATTCAGCTGTAATTATCTTCTTATTCCGGTGACAATATACTTTTAATATGTTGTGTGATGAGGAATTTTCCCGCACACAACATATTGAAGGAATCTACAGAAATTTTACATTAACCCCTCTATCTCCCCACCCTCTCGACATTTCGCCACCAAAATTTACTAGCATCGATGCCCCTTATATACAAGTCACTATTCCAAATTTTATTTCTTAATCTTTACCCCATGCTGTGATAAACGAAATAGACTCCAACACATCTACGGAATTTTTTCACTTTTTTGGATTCAGGAGGTCTCAAAACATGGAGATTTGCAAAAGATTCCAATGACTCCTTTGTCATGTATTCACACCAGCCAGGGAAGTAAAAAATCTGTTAAAAAGTTTCATTAAACAGATGCATCTATTGTTTTCGAAAACAGGCTTTAAAGTCGTTTTCTCCAAACCCCTTCTTGACTGGCAACGAGTTTTGTTTTATGGCATCGATTGACTGAAAACGGTGAGAAGCAGGCAAAAGTTTGGTGGAGGAAAGACGGTCCCATATCGGATGAATACGGACCACATTTGTTGACTTGACCCAAAATTAACAAGGAACAGGAGCATTGTCGGCGAATGTTCCGTGGTGCAAAATCCACGAGTTTCCTGGCCACAAATCGTGTGGTTTTCTACGAATTTCTTCAGGCAAACGATTAAACGTATCCGTTGTTGACAGTTTGGCTAGATGGAAGGAATTCGTGTTGCACGACTGTCCCATAATCGAAGAAAACAATCCAGGAGACCTTGATTTTGGTATGATTTTGCCATGATCTTTTCGGGTCTAGCTTCACCTTTTCGTGCTCCATTTACTCGACTGCCAAACCGTTTCGGTGCCAGAACGTTGATTCACGTTTCGTGGGCTGTAACGATGTGTTTTAATTAAGAACGATTCGACGAGCGCCAAATCTGATTTGTTCATCGGTCGAAGTAGATGGTTTACCAGAGCGTGGTTCGTTTTCAACGCGTTCTCTGCCTTCGTACATCTTGTACCTTCGAAAACTCTAGTTCTTGTTAGAGTAATGTTCACAAAGGCATCTTGCAACACTTCCAGCGTTTTTGTATCAGTAATTCAACGCACGTTTTTTTGCTCCACGACACTCGACAATTTGAAAATTACAGCCCAATTGATAGCTTGTATCTTGTAATTTTTATGCAAAAGGACCATGACATACTTTTCCATCTCACCAGGGTCATCAATGTTATGATTAAGAGCATGGAACTTAGGGAAGACATTCAATTTACCAGATTAATTTTGTGATTTTGTAAATAAAATAACGCTTAAATTATTTTAAGTATTGAGGCAACGTGCCAAGTGAAGTTATTTGAATGTAACTCCTATAATTTACTCTCGACGTTTATCGATTCGTACTCATTGTTAACTGTGACTATATAGTTGCGTGAAGATGTAACTCTATAAAAATGTAATTATAGTCTGCAAACAAAGCGTAATTTGAATAGAGTGGATCGAAACCATTATCTATATTATTCTAACTTCATATTGAAATCAAATTTTTAATATTAAAAAATAGAGACTGAAAATGGCTTCACGGGAAAAGCCATATTACCATAACAAAGAAAAAGTACCGCAATGTTTGTGTGTTTTAAGAAATAATTAAATTTTATGTCTTGAAAATAGAAAACATAAATCTACAATAGAAAAATTCTCCTTCCCTTAGATTGTGAGGATTTGTTGGTGATGAAGTTGATAAAATCATTTACAACTGAAATCGTACATTTAATAATTCATGGATATTAAAGGGTTCACTAAAGTTGATCCGTGTTTTAGGAGAAAAGAGGTGTATCTTCGTTTCTCTATAACACCAGCCATTATACAATGATGAAATATATAATGCAATTACACTACGTATTACGCATTAATGATATATCGATGTATGGTATGAACTTATTTTAGGTAATTTTTAGAAATTAGTGAATGTATACACGAAGAGCAAAGCGAGAATCTTAGGAAGCAACAAGTATTGAAGCTTTTTTTGTTCTTACATTTTCTAATTTGTAAAAATTTTAATACTAAAAATGCTACTGAAACATTCAAATTCGGATTAATTCGGATGTAATCTTAAAAATGCTTGTCTTGGGTAAAATATTTAAAGAGTAATTTGAAATTCTAACTATAAATTTCCCAGCTGATGATAATTATTATACAGTTTTCAAGAATTTGCACGCGACAGACTAAACTCCTTTCATTATAATCGATCATTACCTTGCGTGTGATATAATTTGTTCTGTATTGCATGATATCTCTGTGGATCTCCAAGAGAAGAGCCTAGCTTTTTCGATCTGTCTCTCTCAACAATTATTTGTCCCTGGAAACATGGATCTATCTGATAACCTTGCATGTAAACTTTTCACCAATCACACACACACACGGGTCTGGATGCAGTCGCTTACAGTGAGTCCCCATCGTCAAAATAACCGGAATTGATTCTTTTAATGCCACGTTTTAACCTGTAGGGAAATGAAAAAAAGGCATAGCTTCCGTGCTTCCAGATTTATGGGACACCGTGTATTCAATGGACAATGTTATTGTATAAAATAAATCAATATTGTCAGACAAATCTTAATTCTTGCAGATGGAATCTTTCTTAGTTACAACACAATGGCATACACTAAAAACAAAACAAATATCGTTTAAATTTAATACAGTGGGTGATCGGTTAACGAACAAATCGGATAACGAACACTTTCGCGAAAGATTTTTATGATCGGACAACGAACACATGATCGGATAACGAACACTTCACTGAACAGACATAAAAAGAAGCGACGAAAATAGCAAATACCGACTAATTTTCCTTTGTTTTCCGGTAACTTTTTGGAGCGCGGGAGACCTCAACGTCGACGCTCAACCTGATAATATAATGATTAGATAGTATCCCTCGAACTTTGAAATACTCCCTTGTAATTCCAACCTTTTATTTTTCTGACAAACAATTCTTTTATAGTATTCGCGAGACTGTCGGGCAGGCACTCATTAAGTTTTGTGTCGGTTTTTATTTTCGAAAGGTGAGAGTATAATAGCAAAGGTAGAGAGTGGGCAGATGATGTCTGATGTTGCTGAGCAGATGGCTTGAACAGGTCTACAGTAGGCCGCAGTTCAATCTTATCTAAGAAAGATACTGTATTATCA